CGGCCCGAGGGGGGAGAGCTTTTCTGCTCTCCCATCTTCACCTTGACCTTCTGCGGACTGGGCTAGCAGTAGGTGACAACTCCTCCTTTGTTGGCAGGGGAGGTGGAGGTGGAGGGGGAGGAGGAGGGGACATGGAGGAGGACAGTAGGGAGGACAGGGAGCAGGGGGAGCAGAAGGAGTCTGCAGGACTGTGCACAGGCAGCCGAGGGAGGGAGGCTGTGAGGGCCGTGACGGGCTGGGTGGTGAGGTGGAGCTGGGGTCCGTCTGCACGCTGGTGCTGAGACACAGGGGTGGCCCTGCGCCTGCACACACACCGAGGGCACCCGCTCCTCCCTCTCACACACACTACTCATCTCCATGCTCCTGCCGTGCCCTTTTCTTCTGTGACGCGCAGTCGGGGATGAGCATCATCACCTGACCTGGGTTCCGCTGGGAGGAGACACAGCGAGACGGAAGACGAACAGTTAGATGGTTGAAAAGAAAAATGTTGACATATGTCGCGACTTCCTTCCTTTGTTTCCATCAAGCCAATTAGATGCCCTAAACAGACAGTTCTAACACGTTATCTTTCGTTTATTTGTTTTGCTGAGAGTTGTGATGACTTGTTTGGCTCCCAATCACGTGTTGATGTTGTGCGATCAAAATAAAATAAAAAACGTTCCAAACACATTCAAGCAAGAAAATAGTCAAACAAATCAAAACAAAACTCAAATAAAATAATAAACATCTTAGATCGTCTTTATTTCTTTACGTTGTGTAGGATAATATAACTTAATGGTTAAAACTGTGTCTCAACCACGTCTTTCGCACAGGTTGCCCATCTCTTAAGAGACTGGCGCCATGGGAAATGTAGTCTTTTATACTTCCTTGACTACAGAGGTCACGATTAGGTGACAATATTTGGCCTTTTAAAAAATAAAAAATAAAAGACTGGCTCTAACAACACATTTACTTTTATAGGAGGGCACATACCTGCTTGAAAGTGCGTAGTCTGTCCAGAGTTCTCTGCCTCTCCTGACTAACTCTGCTATTCTTCCTCTCCTCGTCTTCCTCGTCTTCATCTTTCAACTGAAAAAGTAGAAGTGTCGGGAGGAGAGAGTTGACAACAAACTGTGCAGTGATATAATATCAGCCATTATTATAATAGAGCATCTACCTGTAAGACCTGATGGGAGTCCTTGTGGAGGGCTAGATGTTTCTGCTGTCTGTGTTTCTGAGTGTGATTTGATACACAGATCTCCTGTAGAAAGATGGAGAAAAACAAACATAACACACTCATCCATACAGAATACATCATACTACAACCAATTACAATTCATTTTATTTTAATAAATAGGATTTGGGTAAAGAAAAAAAACACAACAGGACACTTTTTCAAGAATAACTATAAAGTCCAATCAAATGGAATACACACTCCATTCTAGACATTGAATAGTATGCAGCAGAAGTATGTATAATCAAGGATACACCTCAGTCATGAAAACAAGTGTGACTGTAGTGTTTACACACCTTTTTGTTCCTCAGATAGGAGCGCTTGGCAGTGATGCGCCCCCTTCTTGCCTCCAGCTGTCGAGCGCTGACCTGAAGTCTGCGCAGCTCTTCCCTCTCGGCAGGATCATCCTGCTTTATATCATCTGTACTTACTTTAAAGGTGTCATAGTACACCACCTCCTCCTGACCGCTCTGACACACACACACACACCACACACACACACACACACACCACACACACACACACAACACCACACACACACACACCACACACACACACCAACTTCATGTTTTTGAAAGACACTTCATAGAGTATTTATTCAGACTGTCATGTAGCAGGTTCATGCACAGCCAACAGTACAGAACAGTCTGTAAAAGTGCGTTGTAAGGAATATTTGACATACTAAAAATACTCATTTAAATATCTTCTGGACTCTAAGATGAGAAAAAGTATATTTTTTACTCACAGTAATTTTATATTTGAGGTAACTTAGTGGCCTCTGTGTCAGCCAACATAAACCTTGCCAAGAAAACAATGTATGAGAGTGTTTTAACTTTTTCACCTTTCAGTCTGGAACTGTAGGATTTTGTCGATGGCAAGCAATATATTTGGCAAGCCCCAAAAGCCCTTGACAGAACTTTTTATGGAAGAATGAGGAAGAAAGAGAGGAGTATCGTGGTAAGTAGTTTGTATCCTCTTCCTCTTCTGCGGGAGGTAGTAGACTAAACCAAACATTTCAAATAACTTTACTCCACTAGATCATCAACAAAACATGATATTTTTTTGTTTTGTAGTACAACCTGTCCGTGTGTTTAACTGTCTGTTTTCTATGCTGTTGTTTCTTGTGTTTGATGTGCCAAAATACCAGAAATCTGCCTGTGAATGCTGTCTAGTTGCGCGATGAGAAGCAGCTCTTCACACTGTAATATCTCCGCCTGGATGTCGTACAGTTGCAGCTGCCGCTCATAGTACTGTGTCTCCATGTGGTCTAAGAGGGCCATGGCGTTCTCACTGCTACACAGACTCTGCATCTGAGGGGACAAGATACAAAAACGTAGACAAAATAAATCTGCGTATCTCTATTCTCTGTGCATATGTGTTTTTTGTATGGTGTTGTTTGAGTGTCCTTCCACACCTCCTCTCGTAGTGTGTGCTTCCTCTGCTCCAGACAGATCTCCCGGGCTCTCTGGAGCTGCAGAGTTTCCTTTGCCACAGAGTAGCGGAGTCTCTCCATGCGCTCCACCGCAGCCGTCCAAGAGGATTTACCAAACTTGCGCTGGTCCACCTTCATACGCTCATACACCCCTGTCCACAAAAAACAAACAGGGCAATGACACCTCAACATGTCCAGAGGTGGAAGAAGTACTCAGATCCTGTACTTAAGTAAAAGTAGAAGTACCAGAGTGTAGGAATACTCTGTCACAAGTAAAAGTCATGCATTTAAAATGTTACTCAAGTAAAAGTACAAAAGTTTTAGCATCAAAATCTACTTTAAGTACCAAAAGTAAAATATTTACCTCTGAATTGTACTGGAGTAGAAGTACAAAGTAACATAACATGGAAATACTCAAGTAAAGTACAATGACCTCAAAATTGTACTTAAGTACAGTACTTAAGTGAATGTGATGACTAAGTTATTACAATAATGTAAAGGGAGACATCTATTGGCCACATGTGCACATTACAACCTCTTTGATTCCAGTTTGTACTTGAAGCCACTCACTTATGTCGAGTTTGATCTAATAAGTGTCAGATAATAAATGGACCAATCAGCAGTGGAGGAAAAACGTGGCTAAGTAGGGGCCCGTTGTGGAGTAACCCCGCACAGACACACTGCTGTCAGAGCGCTGTGATCGATAGCTTGTTCTTGTTTCTTCCTGTCCTGTCAAACCATGGCTGTCTGTGCTGCCTCATTAAAACCAAATCACATTAGCCCTGGTGTTCAGAGCCACACACAGGTCAATAGCAGACCCTGTGGTGTGGTGGTGTGTGTGTGTGTGTGTGTGTGTGTGTGTGTGTGTGGTGTGTGTGTGTGTGTGTGTGTGTGTGTGTGTGTGTGTGTGTGTGTGTGTGTGGTGTGTGTGTGTGTGTGTGTGTGTGTGTGTGTGTGTGTGTGTGTGTGTGTGTGTGTGTGTGTTTTGTCATTTGTCTGCTGCTTTTTGACTTGACAGTGACAGTGATGGTAGACTGTACCTTTCTGGGCTTTGGCAGTGATCTCAAAGTATTTTATAGTAAACTCCTGTATGTTGAGGACGGCCTCTTGAGCTTTTTTCTGCCAGTCAAAGTCCTCCTTTTTTAGAGCTTCAATCCGCCTCGGCCCCAGGTAGTCATTCTCCAAGGAAATCTGTCGAGGGAGAATTAACACATTTTTGTCAGCAAGGCTCAGAACTACGAGAGAGATGTTAACGGTGAATAATATATTCTGAAGAAACATATGATACAACGTTTTATACAAACAGAGGACAAGTGGCATTACTTGAGTTCCAGAGGTGGTGGGAACCCCAAATGTCATACATCAATGCCATAAAGGGGCAACAGTAAAGTTGGTCAACTAAAAGGAGGACATGTTTGTGATAATTAAGAGACAGTTGGTTGTGATTTACATGAAAGCACAGGGAACCTACCCTACACATATTGTAGTGCAAGAGTGTCTGTCTTAAATGGCGGCATGCTGTGAGGATTAAAGAGGCCCTGTTGTGCTTTTTTCTGGTTTTCCCTTTCCTGTAATGTGTTATAAAGGTTTGTGTGCATGTAAATGGTCTGCAATGGCTAAAATCCAAAAGTTCATGACAGAGGGAGTTTCTCTCCCAATCTCTAAGCGGTTGACCAATCACAACAGAGCCGGCCAGCTAACCAATCAGAGCAGACAGGACTCTGGTTTCAGACAGAGGGTGAACAGAGGTGCTGAAAATAAAGAGCCTTTTGAACATTAAAGCATGTAAACATGTCACAGTAGAGGCACACAATACACATATGAACCTGAAGAGGAGAATAATAGGGCCCCTTTAATATAGGTACAAAATGTGCAGTCCTTCTCGATGGCTTCACCAGAGAAAGCTAGCCTGGAGAGGGAGCCAAACTCCCACACATGCCAGCAATGACAATACGCAGTGTTTGTACCATGTGATTCACAAACACACATGCACCTGTGCAAACACAATTATTTAATAAAAGGCTATTTCAACTGCTCAAAACAGCATAATCACCATTTAGATGGAACCTTTTAATTAATAGTGCAGACAATTGAACACCGTGAAAATCAAAACCCATAATATTCCAGCAGTATACACACATACCCATTTGTAGAAATACAAAATAATTGTAGTATGATACTGCTAAGTCTCCCTACGCAGACAACTCCCTTGTTTCCTAGAGGAAACACAGAATTTTCTGTGTAGCATTGGGTGAGCAGCAAAGGTTACAGAGCTGCATCTCAGTCTGGCCGTACTGATCTACACTACTCAGCAGTGCACCAGTATCATCTAACACTGCAATATCCTGCTGTCTGGTTGCCAGTGCTCACTCTTTTGATTTGTTCCTGCATTGCCCTACATAGTGTAATTTAATACCTGTTGGCTTCACATTGTATGATTATATTACTGTGTATCTTAGTGAGATATAGTTGACCTGAAAACCTGCCATCTGAAACATACTAGTCACACATTTATCAACGATGTAGATTTACTGTATGGCCTTGTTTTGCCCTTCTGAATGCAGAATATTAGAGGACACATTGAGACTCGTGTATATGTGTAGGATTCATGACTAATCAATAGGATAACAAATATTTGTTCTTTGTATTTTAAAGTGTATTATCAATATTTAAAGCTATGTTATAACAATTGTGTCCTTTCTTTGTATTCAGTGACCACAATGACTGTTTTCCAACTCATACAATACTGTAATCTTGTTTCTCTTAGTATTTCCTCTTTCCCCATATCATCCTTTTTCACTTAAACTATTCATTAGATTTGTGTATTTTTGATGTGACATATCGCTGTAAAGTGAGAAAAAAAACTACATTACACCGCTCCCTCTTACAGTTCAATAGAACAATTTGTAGCTCAGAGTATTTCAAAAACAGAAACAGTGAAAAATGATGCCAAATGAATACAAACATTTAAAAAAGGACCAGCACAACCACAGGAATTCAGATGAAGAGCCACAGAGAGCCATGCTGTGCTGGACCTACAGACACTGCAGGCTATAAATAGACCCGGTTGTATCAGTTCATTCAAGAATCGCCCTCTCCCCCCAACAATATGTGTTTGTACAAGGTGCCATGGTGTAATGGTTAGCACTCTGGACTCTGAATCCAGCGATCCGAGTTCAAATCTCGGTGGGACCTGAGTTTTTCTGGTACTCTCTCAGGGGTCCACTGTAATGTAGCTATAACTAGAACTGCACTAACAATAACGACGGAAAGGAAAATAGCTCGACACAACAAACTGGGCTATGAAGACAGGATTTGGTCTGAACTTTGACCTAATAAGTATGTTGTGGTTCAGAGGTAAAGGTTATCCTGACTTCTCTATAACATACTATAAACTACATGTACAGGTGTGCAGGTTTATCTTTGCAGCTTTCTGAACTGTGAAGTGAGTCTAGAGATATGACAATATCACACCGATCCTTCACTTTCTCACACTGGCTACCTCAATCGGTAACACTTGGTAAGGGTACATGAATCAATCATGAAGTCATGCATGACTTAATGCAGGAACAATACCTTCATTAATGCATCGACTCAGGTATCTCATCATCATGACTTCTGAGTTATTAATGATTGTTCATGTCTTCTTCATACAGATCTGCAGTTAAAGTGACAGGCCAAACCATTGACCAGTCACAGCAATTCCAAGTGTTGTAATCATGATTAACGAAGCATTATTGTGTCATTACTTCATCATGTTTGTGCCCCTTCAAATAAAGTGGTGACCTGTTCCGTCGTTTACACTGATAATAACATATGATTAATGGCCCTATGTGAAATCACCGTTATTAACCATTTGGTGCTCATGCAATCAACCATCTTGTGATCCCTCAAATAAAGTCAGCCCTTATGTCCTATTTAGGCAATCATGTATTTTGTCAATATTACAAATGCAAATTAGATCTAATTTGGGACTTAATTTCAATATTATCAATTATTTAGTTAGGACTTTTTTGTATGTATCATAAAGTATTATCTTAAGGCTCACAAACCATTTAAGATAACTCGTTCATAATATTAACAAACTTTAATTTATAATCCAAAAGCCAACAAGATCACATTTTCACATATCATGTCACATAAGAAAGCAATAAAAAATGTCGGCAAAGACACAAGATACATGGCAATAGTAAATCATACCATGTTTATATTGTTGAATTATTTGTGATTTTAACTTAACTACAACAGATAAAATGCACTGAAATTACTTATAGATCATCAGGGATTTATCTTTCAGAAAAAACTTCCTGACTCATATGTGATGATAACAGATGTGAGGCACGAAACAGGGGCTATCTTGAAACGTCCCATCTTCTTCATATCTGAAGTCAGTGAGCTCTTGGTGGTTCAATCAGGGAAACATGACCCGAATGTCCTTCAGTCAAACGACCGAGAGGTCCTTTCTTATGCCTGTTTCCAAGCCCAGTAAGTCCATTCTATAACTGCAAGATGTTCTTTCAAAGTTTCTCAGTTCGGTTTCCCCTAAGACGCCAAATTATTGATTTGTAGTTAATCATGATTACAACACTTTCAACATTTCAAGAGAATAAATGCAAGCCCTGGAGAGCCCTTGTCGGAGCTATTTATCCAACCTTTTATTGCCTTATTCACCCTTCCTCACCCTGAGATCCTCAAAGCGTCTCTCATGGTCGTTCCAAGGTCCAGGTGCAAACACAAAGGAGACAGAGCCTTTGCTGTCAGGGCAGAGGAGTGCTTTTTAGAATTGCTTTTATGTGATTGTTTCACCATTTAATTACTTAAGATTTGTTTTACTTTCTATGTTTTTAAAAAGGGATTTATTTTTGTTAATGTCATTCTTTAAATGTGTAGAATGTGTTCTGTCTTTATGTAAGCCACCTTGCAACTTTGTTTGAAAGATGCTAGATGAAAAAAACGTTGATTAATATTCATTCATGTATTTATTTAGACTCTTAAATCTACTAACTCCACAGAACAGAGCAGATGTCTTAAGCAATGCAAAATGGGAAATAAAGGCACTATAAGGAATTGAATAGTCTATTTGGAATAAAATTGGCTTCCAAATTAAATAGTTTTGATTTATTTAACGATAGCAACTAGTAGTATTTGATTACCAACACATGTTTCACATAGTCCAACAGTTCAGAGTGTTATTCTTGTAGGCTCTTTCAAAAATTATCCCCTTCAAATAATTAAAAAGTTATCACAAATAATTCAAATATTAACTGGCGTAATTTGGACTTAATTAGCTTTAGTAATTGCACTTATCTTTATCAAATCTAGTTTTTTCAGCCCATCTCCACTCTATCTTTTCATCTCTGCTGCATGGCTGCGGATCCCAGTGTATCGGAGTCACCATGAACCCGCAGTAAACCTACAGGACCGCACACAACATGACTTATTCATGTCTCTGTGAGACTGCAGGCAATTTGAGATCCATGGCGCTCCAGCTCACAATATGTCACTCAACGCCCAACAGCCACATCAAGTGTTTCAGAAACTGTGGAGAAGGACATCACTGACAGGAAGGTGTCAATAGATGTATATTTTTGCTTTTGTATTGGTGAATGTTCTATAGTAATGTGATACTGCAGTAATTTACTGATGTGAGTCATTGAGCTAAATATAAATAGGCCACCAGCACTAAAATAATAATTTCCACCATGTATCCATTCACCAGCCTCCATCTTCTCTTTGGAATAAGATAAGTGTTCAACACACACACACACACACACACACACACACACACACACACACACACACACACACACACACACACACACACACACACACACACACACACACACACCTCTATTTTATGAGCCATGATCATTTCCTGTGACTTTCCATTGTGTTTTATGACCGTTCCACGTGCACATCTGCATTGATTAGTTTGATTAGTTAAGCATAGTAGCCAACATTTGTAGATCATTAATGTGTGTGTGTGTATGTGTATGTGTGTACGTGTGTACGTGTGTGTGTGTGTGTGTGTGTGTGTGTGTGTGTGTGTGTGTGTGGTGTGTGTGTGTGTGTGTGTGTGTGATGTGTGTGTGTGTGTGTGTGTGGTGTGTGTGTGTGTGTGTGTGTTGTGTGTGTGTGTGTGTGTGTGTGTGTGTGTGTGTGTGTGTGTGTGTGTGTATGTGTGTAAAAGCCAACAGAAGTTGTTGCAAATTGCTGGGTCAACATATTTGGGCCCAAGTTCTGTATTAACCTGGATTTAATAAGACAATTTCCACTAACAAGTATGAAAGACATCTTACAATCTTCTGCACACATGTATATACTGTACATTCAAACTGCAGACTTTAACTTTTTACCTTGATCTGCTGTCTGCGTAGCATTGCCAGTTCCCTCATGTCTCTGAAGGGCTGCAGCAGGTACTGGTACAGCTGGGTGGAGGCCTCCAGCAGTCCTCCATATGCCTCGTCTTCCTCCTCATAAACCTTCAACAGCTCCACCATACTGTCAATGGTCTTGTGCTTGTCCAGCAGCTGCATCACAAAGACACACAGGATGATATTGTCATCAACACACAAACAACTTTCAGAATATTAAAACAGTTAAACATATATAGCTCCTTTTAAAATCTCGGCAAGGCCTTGTTAATGAGGCATTTGCAGTATCCATATTAAAAGTTGTAAACTGGTTTCAAAAGAAGACAAAACCCACGAAAATTCCTAATATTAATACAGTGGAAAGCAAGTTTATTGAAAAATGGTCAAACACACATTTAACATACTATAGATGGCTGCAATGTTGATGTAACATGTGTGTATACCGTAATTGTTTGTTATCTGTTGTAATTATCTGTGTAGTGTAATGCATGTCAGAAAGTCTGTGAACCCATTACATGTATACAGAAGCCAGGAGAACATACTTAAAAACATCTTTAAGGGGCACTCAACAATGAATCTCTGAGGATACTTGGTGTAACTATAAATAATAGGAGCTTTGCCCAGACTATGGCAGAGCAGGCAGAGGCCTTCCCTGCTGCTGCTGCTGCTGCTGCTGGGAATAAGATCAATACACACACATTTTTGGCAGACTGAGCAATCCTACAGGCTACCAGCAAGCACTGAAATACCCATTAACTCAGCCCTCAAATGGAGTGAAAGGATCAATAAACCAGTCAGTCAGTGTGTGTGTGTGTGTGTGTGTGTGTGTGTGTGTGTGTGTGTGTGTGTGTGTGTGTGTGTGTGTGTGTGTGTGTGTGTGTGTGTGTGGCACCTAGCATTACTATACTTGTGGGGACCTACATCTGTTTACACAGTCACGTGTGGGGACTCGCCTCCCTTATGGGGACAAATTGGAGGTCGCCATGAGGGGAATCATTAATTTTAGGGTGAAGATTTGGTTAGGTTTAGGATTAGGGTTATGGTAAGGGTAAGGTTAAGGGTTAGGGATGTGTTGGTTATGGTTAAGGTTTAGGATAAGTCTCCAGGAAATGCATGCAAGTCAATGTAATGTCCCCTGAAGTGGTGTTGGTGTGTGTGTGTGTGTGTGTGTTGTGTGTGTGTGTGGTGTGTATAAGTGTGTGGTGTGGTGTGTGTGTCGTGTGTGTGTGGTGTGTGTGTGTGTTGTGTGTGTGTGTGTGTGGTGTGTGTGTGGTGTGTGTGTGTGTGGTGTGTGTGGTGGTGTGTGTGGTGTGATCATCCCACACAACATTCTGTGAACTTCTGTACAGGTCACCCTTGAAAAAGAGATCTTTTGATCTCAAGGGGATTCACCTGGTTAAATAAAGGCTACAACAAAACAAACAGAGCTCTTCCTCTATTTTCAGGTTGAATACACCTTTAGTCAACTATATATCACATACAGCGGAACAGGCATTTATTTAATTAGTCAGAGTGGTGCAGTTTGGGATGGTTTGTGTGAGCATTTTGTGAAACTGATTGGCTCTGCTGTATTTGACTTATACTTGCTCAGGAAGGGCAGTAAGCCAAACGTTTCCTGTGTCTGCTTTTCTGTATGCTTTACTTGGTGTGTGTGTGTGTGTGTGTGTGTGTGTGTGTGTGTGTGTGTGTGTGTGTGTGTGTGTGGTGTGTGGTGTGTGTGTGTGTGGTGTGTGTGTGTGTGTGTGTGTGTGTTGTGTGTGTGTGGTGTGTGTTGTTGTGTGTGTGTGTGATGTGTGTGTGTGTGTGTGTGTGTGTGTGTGTTGTGTGTGTGTTGGGACTGACTGGGTGGAATGACATGTGTGACTGCTGTTCTCATAGTCTCACTGCATAAAGAGGAAACGCCTTGGCCTTCTGGTCAAACACAGCATTATACATAGATCTTGACTAATATAGACTCTTCTTACTTTTGCAAAGATAGTAAATGTTGGGAAAATACTGAATGTACTCTTCTAATATCAGAGTAGCACACGATAACAAAGGCCCTACGTAGCTGTGTACGTAACAGGAATTATGGGTGATATTTTTCTAACAGTAAACATATTAACAGTATAAAATGTAAAATATACTTTACTTCAAATTTTTTTGGACAAATAGAGTAATATTTAGATTTTGTTCAATCACAATAATTTAAACCAAATAAGTGCTGATTTAGGTATAAATAATAATTATAAAATGTTATATATCTTACCATTGACACTGCAATCTGATTCATCTTTAAAGTTCACCATCTTAATAACAATTATAATCACAAGGAAATATGTGTGTATTAGGGAATTGGTTCAACTGTAATGGCATATCCATCTTGGTCAGTATTGAAATGTATTTAAAATATATATATTATGTAAATACAGGTAACAGTGGAATTTGACGCACTAATGGACCCGGAGTAACACTGTGATGTTATTAAAATGTCTCTTCCATTAACGCTCTTTCTCAACCGTCTCTCAGAGGGACTTGCACTCTCTCCAGCTCTATGAGTCAAGGCTGCAGTTAATATAACCCCATTGATTAGGCAAGCAACAAAGTGAGAGCCAGTGGACTATCAATAACATGTCTGTTTATATTAAGAGCAGTTAATCAATCACTAGCTGCTGCTGATGTGTAAAAGGAGCCGACCAGGAGTGTCTGGTTTATCTCCACTCTGCCAAGTCATAGACACAAAGCAGAACTGAGTCTATCGTGTAAAATATTGGCGCTGGTCTTTGGTTATGTGTTATACATACAGAATGGTTTCATGGAAATGTCTGTTAGTGTTTATATTATAACTTCTTTTAATATTCTAACATCTTTTTGGAAAATATTTTTTTTAAGACAGGTTGACTTTATATTCAATAACACAGATCATCAAAAATATCAATCATTGTCTTTTTTTCAAATCCATACACATGTCTGGCTGGTTTAAAAACCACGTTATCCAATACTATTGTGTGTATTTTTCTTTATTTCCTGCTACAAGGTGTGATATTAACAGTATAAGAATGACACAAAAAGGAATGGGATTCATGAATTCTGATATTAAAGCAAGAGCCTCTGCATCATTAAAAATGGCACCATAGGATGTTAGTACAGTCTTTAAATATATAAGTAACCAAGAAAGGCCCACTAAAAACAGCGATCCTCATGGTAAAGTCTGATCACCCAGACCTTTTGGGTGCAATGTGTTGGTCTTGGGTTGTACCATGGAGAAAATGAGATATATGCTTGATCAGAAGTGTTTTTCAAGCAGTATTCTTTGGTGGTTAAATAGATGGCAGACTAACTGGTTTGGTTTAGGAAAATGCATGTTTGGGTTAAAACGCCCCACCTCTGTCTGAGCATTCACAAACCATGACTTTTCTCATTACATCAACAGGGTCATTCTTAAGAAGTGCTTGAAATGTGTTTATGTGTGTGTTCACTTGACCGTCTCAGCTGTGTAAACAGAAGACAGCAGCTTTTCTGAGTGTATAATATTCCACACAGGACTTTTTTACAAGTCCTCTTTTAACTCAAGGTAATAAAATGATAATACCTCAGCTGTCTCGCCGCTGTGCTATTAGGGAAGGCCTGTTTATTTTTGTCACACCTCAATGCTTTTGAATGTTAGATCGTGGTAAGCCTTGTTTCAGACTGTGACCTCTTTTTCTTCCAGACATTAATTATTTTCTTTAAATGTTCTGACCATTTTCTGGTTATTGTACTTTACTTACTAGCAACACTAAAATAAGACTATAGATAGATAGATAGATAGATAGATAGATAGATAGATAGATAGATAGATAGATAGATAGATAGATAGATAGATAGATAGATAGATAGATAGATAGATAGATAGATCGAATAGATAGATAGATAGATAGATAGATAGATATAATATAGATGATAGAGATAGATAGATAGATAGATAGATAGATAGATAGATAGATAGATAGATAGATAGATAGATTCAACTTATTGTCATTACACAGTACAGGTACCATGTAACGAAACGGTTTCTCTGCATTTGACCCATCCTAGTGTTAGGAGCACCTGGGTCAAATTCAACCATGCAGCATAAAAAGTAATTCACCTTTAACAGCTTGACAAAACACTCTAATCAATGCATCAACAATTATGATCAAAACATGTTATTATTCTTAATGGGCCAATCTGCTTAATTAGTACTTTTGGTAATTTAAGTATATTTTGATGGTAATACTGTTGTAACTTTACTTGAGTATAATTTTTGATTGCAGGACTTTTACTTATAATAGTACTTGCTTTTTCTTAAGTATAAGATGTGATCTTCTTCCGAGTGGCAGACAAAAACCACCCTGAAATAAATTGAAACTTTGACTTTAATTAGATGCATTATGTCAACAGATTTCCCATAACTGTATGAGGTTAATTGAAAGCAATACTATTCGGTAATATTAGGTTCAACATATTGCTTTTTGAACTAACCTCATACAGTCATGTGAAATCTGTTGACATGATACATTTAATTAAAGTTAACGTTTCAGTTGGTTTCAGTGTTCAGTCTATGTTTTGAAAGCTAATTAAGTCATGGACATAAAACTCCTCACCTCTTGCAGATGTTTTGTTGCCCGGTTGAGTGCCTCTTCGTACCCAGACTGCCTCAGCTCGCTCAGGCTCTCGTAGTACTCATCTGGGTCGTCTTTTTCCGTGAACAGAACCTGCGACAGGATCTTCCATCCACAGATATCGAGTGAGTGGCTCAGGTACCTCTGCAAACTGTAGCAAAGCTTATCCGTTTCTGTCTCGGGTACTTCCGCCATGCCGAACAGCACTGTCCACATCCCGGCTGGTTCCTCCGGAAACACCGGGAGGCAAGGCTCCAGGTCCGAGTTCACCGAGCACAGCTGCTGGTGGACCGACCGCAGGTCCTGGAAGGAGAAAAGCCCGGCCCAGCTGCGGTCCTCCCGGCTCAGACTGTCCAGCTCCTCCAGATCCAAGAGGTCCAGAGAGGGGGACAGCTGGTCCTCTCTGAGAGGTTTTAACACCTCAGTGTCACGACTGACTGAAGGGATTTTGACAGGACTCATTGCTGGTGCCATGACGGATTTGGTTTTAGGGCTGCAGACTCCTTTGCTTGGACTCCTGTAGACTTTATCTCTGGTGGGACTTTCGGGCCATTTTGTTTTGTCTCCATCCTGGCCAGTGGCCTTCGGCCAGTGGGTCCCTACCAAAGCTTCTCCTCTGCACCGTCCTGTTGTGACACGTAATGGCAAATTTGTCCTCCACTTCATTCCATGCAACAATAAAAACAAATTTGTGCTTTTCCTTATCATCAAAGGCGTTCGGGGCGGACAGCTACCCAGCCCGACTCGAAATTATCCTCCATTGTGAAGGACATGTTTGCAAAGTGAGGGCACAAAAACAACAACAATGCTGGATCCAGCTAAACCTGCGTCGGTAGGCCTACTGTGGATGCAACTTAGTATAACGCCGTTTTTTACGTTGTTAAAATCACCAAAAAGTGTTTGTCTTCCGAGGATATTTTTTTGCCTGGAGGGCTATCCTCCTTTGCACAACAAGCAGATGAATTTGGAGCAGTGCGGTGTCACTTCCCATCTCTGGCCCACCTGGCTTCAAACTCAGATATCTGACTTCCTATTTCATCCTCCTGCAACCCGATAGTTGTATCCTATGCTTTGCGAGCATATTAGCCTCGAGTGTGACACATAACATGCGACAGTGTTTACAACGTCAGCTGTGCCCCATTATTCTCCACACCTCGGCTCCAGACCTCCTTTCTCATCACAAAGTATGCTACCAGCCGGATCCAAAAACAGCATCGATTCGTTTACATACAACAGACGGAGTCGATGAATAACTGTGACAAGGCACTGTCTCTTCAAAAAGCTTAGCATCGTCTCCAAACTCATAACATCACATCTCCATCGTTCGCCAAACAAGACCACATACGCAAAAATAATAACGTTGGCTTCAAGTGCCTGCAAAAAAATATCGGAATTTCCACGTAGCTTGCAAGAAACAGCAATCAAAGTTTAGTGCGACAGTTTTATACATTTCTAATAGCCTTCACCTTTTTTCTTGCTATACACCGGTTTAGAAAACGGTATCATCACTGGCTAAACAAAAAGTTAGCTACAATTAAGCTGCATGTAGTTTTGCGAAACACTGCAAAGAGCAGATAGAGGTTATTTAAGTCCGAGGAACATTTAAAGGCAACATTAGTGTCTCAGCTTGAGTAGGGCAGAACATGACATAGATAACAAATAAATAAATGCATAAATACAGAATAAATACAGAAATACAAAAATACAAGAATGGAAAGAATGGGAACAAAATGGAAATAAAAAAATGTATGTGGAAATAAATACAAGAATAAATAAACATAAAAAATAAATGAATACAGGAATACATCAATAAATACAGGAATAAATAAATACAAGAAAAACATTAAATAATAATATAGACATTAATAAATATTTGTATTAATGTATATAATAAATATATGTATTAATGTCTGTTTCACATAATGTTGTTTTGCTTGGTAGCCTTGTATTCTGTGGATACAGCAACATTTTATAACAAATGTACTTTCAATTGTTCTGAAAGTTTCAACAAATGCACGTGTCTTTAACAATATCTTTGGGTTGCTATAATATTTTATTTCACTTCCTCTGACCCGTCCCACTTTTATTTGGAAGCTTTGTCTCAAGTTGTACACAGTGCAAGGAGAAACACAGTGACTCTTCTCTCTTCTATACATATTTTAAAAGCTTACAGCACCGGAAATCTGTGTATTCATGTTCTGTATAAACTGTAAAGCCCCCTGAGTCAAAAGTGCAATTTGTGATATTGGGCTAATTACATAAACTTAGATTTACTTTTATTGATGTCTTTGGCGTAAGAAGTACACTTCAGGCCCCCCAGAGCCAGATATAAATATTTATTAGCCTCAAAAATTGTGTTGCTATTAAATATTTTTCTACTAGATAAAACTCAGTAACAGGAGTGTAAGGGATGGGATTTCTAACAGGTTTGAGGTCTTTGATTTTGAAGCTCTTCTCCAGCAGTGAGATAACGCACACATGCAACAAGCAGCACACTACACACTAGGATAAATCAACATGGCTGGGATTGAACCCACCACCTTCTGACTCAAAGACAGCAGCTCTTCCTCTCAGCCACTGCATTGGGCTATTGTTCAGAAATGATCATAGCCCGAATTTCCCAATCGAGATAACCGTTTTGTTTCGAAGTTTTTTCTTTTTAATTTTCCTGAAACTTTCAGAATCTCTGTACACAGACACATGTTAATGTATAAAAGACATGAAAAGTGGATTTTGCATAATAGGTGACCTTTAAATATAAAAATGACACAATGACATAATTTCTTACATCCTCATATCGTCTCTCGATTTAATAGACTTAGTAAAGTACTTGAGTAAATCTATTTAGTTACTTTACACCACTGTCTGTTTTGTAAATATACACATACGCGTTCACTGGGGAAAGATGTTTCTCTTGTCACTCAATTAAAACGATTTTTTTTAAAACGTTTTTTTTTAATCCACATCAATATACTTTAGAACAGTTTGACTTTCAGAAATCTAAATTAGCTATAGTTAAACCTCACTGTCATATTTTGAAGAAATAAATGGAGCTTTATATTTAAACAATAACTTAATTAAAAAGATTTCCCTTTCAAGTAAAGTTCTACCAAAATTCCTTCACTTCTTTTTGTCTACTGTAAGTAAAATGCTACCAAAAACACTTCATACATTAATGGTGTAATGGCAATTTCCTGTTCCTATGTCCAATATATTTTTGTCATTACGTCACAGAAGGGCTGAAGAGTGATCCAGACGCAGACACAAACAGATGAGTTTCCGGTCCTTTGTTGCCGTTTATAATGAGGTTTATTCAGCTTTTACATACCAGGGTTAATTGTACAGTTCTAGTTGTATTGATGGGCATCTGCCGGGCTGGTGGAATCGGTATGCTCTCTCCCTCTGTGTCCTCCCCTCTCCTGTCACCTATAGTGCCACTACAAGCTACAGCTACAAACTACAGCCACTACTATGACCTCTTTATATACACCCGGTGCAGCTAAACCCCGCCACTAAGTGTTCAAAAATAATATTGCACTATACATATAACTTAAATAAACTGACACACCAACAACACCCATAAAATGGCTCCTACAAATGGTCTCTACACATTGCTTGAAATTTGCATAACTTTAATGAACTCTCTCTCTCAATAAACCTTCCAGAGAGCTCCTACTCTTTTTCTGTGTCTGATTTGATTTTAAATGTTTTTTATTCCTTTATTGTATTCTATTAATTTTATTTGACATATTTATGTGGTTCCATGGTGTAATGGTTAGCACTCTGGACTTTGAATCCAGCGATCCGAGTTCAAGTCTCGGTGGAACCTCGTGATTTTGAGAAGAATCTGCATTTGTTGGTAAGTATAGAGTGATCCACAGTATGTCATTACAATTACAAAGACAAAGCTCTGAATGAGTACATAATCATCAAACTACAATATGTCTACAAAAACACTACTGTATGTATGGGTTGTCATGAACAGGTTGAAACTAGTATCAAACTCAGACTAGAGTAACCAGACCAAATCTAACTGGGGTCACGCAGGTTTTCAGAATTACAGAAGTTATGGCCAAAAATATTAGATCCGCAAAACAGAAAACTGAAGCCGATAAGAGAGTCTGGGTGTTATAAACACAGTTGGTTTTCCGCGATCAACCTGTAGGCTATTTCTTTGCTTTTACATAATTCGTAAATGTTTAAACAGGTTAGACAACCTTTCATCAAGCCTGGAGAGGAGGGGTTGTGAAATGGAGGAAGGAACAAATGACTGATTATTCTGCATTTTGTACATTTTGTAAGTAATTGCTGTTGTCTAATTTTCTTTTTCTTGTTTACTTTTAGTTAATTTAATTAAAGAACATTTGTTGTGCTTTTGGTTGTACATGTTGTGCATTAATCTCAATAAAAATGTGATCACAAAAAAAAAGGAAGGAACAAATGAGGGCTACAACATGCAGTGGCACCATTTCAAAATGTTAACGTAATCATAACTATTATATTAACTTTTATTACATTTCTATGGCAAAATCGGAATAAAAGTAATGTGACTATCTCCTCACCTGACCTGACTTTTAACTCAGATGCATGAGGCCGGTGTCTGTCTCTTGACATAACCTGACTTTAGGTGCCATAACGCTACTTAGCCCAAGTTCATTATTTGTATTATTATTATTTGTTTACGTCACTTTTATTTGTTTGTTGATTACTTCCGGTAATTGTCACATGGGTGTGGTTTGGTTATATAAGTCACCTGTTTGATGTCGAGTGCGGGTGACAGAGGGTCATTTTTTCTGTTGACCGTTTTGTCCATAGTTACTATGTTATGATTTTGTTTATTAAATATCCTAAAACTATCTTGCTTCACTATGGACTTTCTCTTCGAAAACGCGTCACAGTTTATAGCCAAGTTTAGCCTCTCGGCGACTCAAACGTAACTGGGATTGAGCCGCCACACTGACTTTCACCCTGATTCAGTGTTACAATGACAGCTGATAATGATTACCACGTGAAATGATCCATGTGTGAGGCACAGCAGGAGAGGAAGACTTTGCCCTTTGCTTTCCTAAATGTTCAAATGTGTCTGCATTGCCCTTAGTGAGGCCGGTAATCACAAACAGAAAAAAGCATATGTTATTACTTTGTTTCAAATTAAAATGATAAAAACATGAGTTTATTATTATTTTTTATTAAACATGAACAATTGTATAGCACATTTCAGCATTCTAACAACAAATAGGACAAACTTGTGAGGATATTTTACAACTTATGAAGGCAATATATATAAGGTGTTAATATTTTCCGTCATAGCAAACAGCAGACAGATTTTTAAACATCTGATCAGAAGACAGCAGAGACAAATTCTACCATTCATGATTTAGCACAATAAAGACAGGCGATTGTGTTGTTAAGTTTGAGCTATTGGTGATCTTCCCTCTTATTCATCAGCTGGTGTGGCCATGGAGGGGCATTTTGGACGTCCAGAAGCAGGCAAAAGGTTTTCCCAGTACTCCCGACGAGCCCTAGGATACATTTTGGTAGATTAGTTGGTTGTAAATCAGTGAGGTTTGACTTGAAAAGAGCAGCAACTGTTGTGTTTAGTCTTACCTGGCTCTGACCCAGGGCTTACTGTGCATCTCCAGAGCAGCTCCCCACAGTCCGTGCTTCTCCGAGGCTGGAGGCAGGAATCCTCTCTCTGCGGCCAACTCTTCCGCTATAGCTCTGATGTGGTAGGCCTCGAATCCACAGCAGCCACCAATATAACGAATTCCAGCATTGTAAGCCTCTCTAGCGTATTTCTGCATATCCCAGCGGGTCATTGCTCTGGTCTCCAGTGCTGAGAGGAGAGTCAAATATGTATATTAGCCCAGGCATTTGGTTATAGTGATGCTCTATCAGAACCAGAATTACTTTATCCCTCCCACAAAGGGGAAATAAAAAAAAATAGAACACTATTAAATAAAAGGCATGCACAGAGTATGTAAAATAAAAAATGATTGCACTTTACAGGAGTACACATTCAGGTAGATAAGTAAGTAGCAGCAGTATTTATAAAATAAAATAAGTTTAACATTGTAGAATGAAGTGTGGTATATTATAGCAGTCACATTATTATTGCACATAGTTACATAAAGATTCTTATTATAGTAATGGATGGACTAACTAACTAACTAACTAACTAACTAACTAACTAACTAACTAACTGACTAACTAACTAACTAACTAACTAACTAACTAACTAACTAACTGACTAACTAACTAACTGACTAACTAACTGACTAACTAACTAAGTAGCAGCCAGTAGTAATAGTAATATAAGAACATATTGCACATAAGTGCAAAGGCTTTATTTGTTTCGTTTTTTTATATAATTGCACATTGGTGTTATTTTACAACAGTGGTGTCATAGTCTGTGTTTTTGTGTGTGTGTGTGTGTGTGTTTTTGTGTGTGTGTGTGTGTGTGTGTGTGTGTGTGTGTGTGTGTGTATGTGTGTGGTGTGTGTGTGTGGTGTGGTGTGTGTGTGTGTGTGTGTGTGTGTGGTGTGTGTGTGTGTGTGTGGTGTGTGTGTGTGTGTGTGTGTGTGTGTGGTGTGTGTGTGTGTTTGTGGAGTGGTGTGTCGTGGTGTGTGCTGGTGGCTTGCGTGTGCGTGTGGGAGGGGGGGGGGTCTACAACGGGGGGGGGTCCATCAACCGCATATATTAAGAATTCCAAAGGGTGGCACAGCATGAGCTTTACACTCACATACCTTACATTTTATGCATTATACCTGTCTGAGTTGTTGCACCGCCATGCTCCAGCTACAGCATGGCGCTCATGCTCAGCAAAATATGTTGGTGGTTCCTCGGTGCAGGAAAAAAAAAACAGAGGTGACAGGGCTTTCAGTGTTGCAGCTCCAGACTGTGGAACAGCCTCCCAGCACATATCCGGACTGCTGAGTCTATTGAAAGCACTGGCTTTTAATACTATAGTTGAACATTACATTTTTATATTTATATGTTTTTTTATTTTTGTATATGTTTCTAGTTATTGTGCTTTTTATCACGTTTTTAATTATTGTTTTATTATTATACTCCCATTGTGTTAATTAATATTGTCGTTTATGCCTGTACAGCACTTTGGTCAACTGAAGGTTGTTTTAAATGTGCTATATAAATAAATAAAGATTGAGATTGAGATCAAAAACAATTATTTATATTTGATCAACAATAACTTTTCTAACTTATGTTATTTCTTATCCTACACAAAAGAAAATGCTGACCAAAGGGGAACTCAGGCAGCGAGACGTATCCCCCCAGGTTGCACTCAGGTGTGTGGAAGCCCAGCGGCTGGATCATGAGATGAGCTTTGAGTCCAGCTTTCTCTAATCCTGCTTTCATCAACTTCACCGTACGGACGCACGTCAGAGGATCCAAGTGGCAATTTATCCCGACAATGTCCGCTCCTGCACGGGAACACATCAAAAAAATAAGATGGGGGAGCTGTAACATGTCAGACTTGTCCTCTGTAAGTGCCGCATCCCAGAAAGTCAGTGTACCTGCTTTGACCAGCCTGACAGCACACTCTCCAGGTGGGACTCCGTCCATGTCTCCGTGAGGCGAGATGCACAGTGTTGCACCTATGGTTTTGCTGCTGGTTTTCAGCACCTCCACTGCCCACACCGCCTCTTCTACATGTTCAAAAAAACTGGAGAAAAATATGCATGCAATAAATAAATATTTGAATTCAGAAAGAAGCTTGTGAAGCAGATGTTTAACAAGGATGTACAACGAAAAAAAACTAGAATATTTACTTTGGTTTAGTTGATGTCTCTATAACGGCAGTCCATTTTAGTTCATTGTTGAGATAAGAATCAGACAAAAGATCTTCACAATGTACACATTTTCGATCTAACAGAGATCTTCTTGAGCAACAAGCTTAGCCTGTGATGGGGATATGACTTCCTGGATGAAGAAGGAAACTTTGAAAAATAAAATTCCTGGGAGCTATAATACGGATTTTTCGTCTGAATCCTGGGTTTAACTCAGCACCTGTAAACGTTAGTTTTTTTTAGATGTGGCACACCCACCTTTTCATTGTTGAGATTTAAGAAATATGATTAGTGTAATGCCAGGGGTGTCAAACTCCAGTTTCATCGCAGGCCACATTCCTCATAAAGGTTGCACTCAAAGGGCCGGTTGTAACTATATAAATATATAATATATACACTGAACAAAAAATATAAACGCAACACTTTTGTTTTTGCTCCATTTTTCATGAGATGAACTCAAATATCTAAAACATTTTCTACATACACAAAATAACCATTTCTCTCAAATTATTGTTCACAAATCTGAAAAAAATCTGTGATAGTGAGCACTTCTCCTTTGCCGAGATAATCCATCCCACCTCACAGGTGTGGCATATCAAGATGCTGATTAGACAGCATGATTATTGCACAGGTGTGCCTTAGAATGGCCACAATAAAGGCCACTCTGAAACATGCAGTTTTGCTTTATTGCTGGCTTTATTGCTTTTATTTGCTGGGGGGGTCCAAAACCAGTCAGTAATCTGGTGTGAGGGGTAGGGTTAGGGTTAGGGTAATGTTGTGGAATCGGTGGCCTGTGGTTTCGTCGTCCATACGCCTGCCCATACCATAACCCCACCACCACCATGGGCCACTCGAAATGGTTTATTTTGTGTATATAGAAAATGTTTTAGATCCTTTGAGTTCATCTCATGAAAAATGGGAGCAAAACAAAAGTGTTGCGTTTATATTTTTGTTCAGTGTATATAAAATGATGTATTATATTTAGGGCTGTCAATTTAACGCGTTAATAACGCGTTAACGCCACTAATTATTTTAACGCGAATGTGTATTTTTTTTTCCTCGGCCGCCCCGTAGTTTCAGAGCGCATCGAGTTTAAAATACCATCTACAAGCTGATGCTGACAGCCCCGCTCCTGCCGTCCGCTTGTGGCAGACCACACTTCCACGCTCACCGGCAGGCACCGACTGGCTGTTGGGAGGACCGGGAGGGTGTGTGTATGTGAGGCCCGAGCGAGCGAGAGAGAGACCTTACGTGCATTGTTGTTGTTAGCATCTGGTGCTAGCTATCTGCGCTAACGGATATAAGGAGCTGTTTAAATGAAAACAGAGGAGCGACATTTCGCCACAACTGCGCCGAGCACTTGACTTTATGCAGGAAGCCAGACAGTGGGACATTGTACGAAAAGTCAGCACACTCAGCTCGGATAGTGCGCGCAACATGATTGCAGCGTCCAGGCAGCTCCCGTTCGAGCATATGCCTTGAGTTGCACATAGCTCCAACGATCCATCACACACACACACACCACACACCACACACACACACACACACACACACACACACACACACACACACACCACACACACACCATTTGTATATTGTATTATTGTATGAGAGAGGTTCCAGGTTGAATTGAGGCGAATATTTGTAATGTTCAGAGGTTGTTGTGTTTAATATTCATGAGAATATTTGTCATTGTTCAAATGATAATAAACATTAGCATAAAGCATATTTGTCCACTCATATGTTGATAACAGTATTAAAAACTTGAAAAATATTCCTCTAAGGTACATTTAGAACAGATCAAAAATGTGCGATTAATTTGCGATTAATCGCAATTAACTATGGACAATCATGCGATTAATCGCGATTAAATATTTTAATCGACTGACAGCCCTAATTATATTACATTATTGCCTCTGAATTGGATTATTATCGGATAGGATAATAACTTAGTAATTAATTACGTCTGAAAGCAGAAGCAAATAATTGCATGTCTCTTCAGTAAGAATGTCACAAAACGAGATGCATTGTGGGACATGTAGTTTATGGGCAACCTGCTTCTGTAAAGTGGCATGTAACCGTATAATAAACGTATTATATTCTTTGCAAGCTCTTGCGGGGCCACATAAAATGAAGTCGTGGGCCGGATTTGGCCCCCGGGCCTTGAGTTTGAGACCCCTGTTGTAAGCAATACACACAGCTAATTCCCTTGTTAATAACTACAGTTATTCCTCATACCTCTGCAATAAAGAAATCAATGTCCTTCTTCATGAAATTATCCATCTGCTTCTTAAAGATGGCCTTGACCTCAGGCTCACTGTGACTCTTCACATAGCAGGGAGTTTGGGAAAACACCCCCAGCGACCAACGCAGCCCCCTCATTGGCTACCTCCCGGGCCATGTCACAGGCTGCCTCGTTGATCTGGGCCCCCTGGATCAGACGGAGAGCAAGACGGACCATCAGATTGATATCGGTTTTATTGTTGTCTGATATAAAAGGTTTTGTACTGACCGTGATGCCCTTGACATTGCCACTGATCTCCAGTTTATCCTCGCTGCAGTAGAAGGTAAAGGTCTGGATCACGTTGGCTCCTGCTCTCAGGAACTCCCTGTGGAGCTGCCGCACTGACAGAGAAACAAAACTAAATATTATCATGAGTATTTGTCCTTGCAACTTCACACTTAACATTGCACTTCCTTGGACACCAGCAATTCACTGCGTGCCAATAGGTTTTGATAGTTTGTTAATTGCCCATGTGGGGGAATAGGACCACTCGTTATTTACAAACATTATTTGCTTATTTTTTAGCTTTTGTTATGTAAAGAGCCATTCAATCAGAACGTTTTTTGGTAGTGGAGGCTCGGATTTGTGCCCCTTATTTAATGCAATGAGCACATTCCTACCTGCTTCAGGATGTCTACAGCAAGCTTCAGGTGTCCAGTGTCCAGCCTTCACATATCCACGGCGCTCCAGCTGCATCACATAACCTCCGTCTCCTACAACCACCTCGCCAGCATCCAGGCGCTCAAGATACCCTGAATGAGAACACACGCGAGCAAACAGACAGACAGACAGACAGACAGACAGACAGACAGACAGACAGACAGACAGACAGACAGACAGACAGACAGACAGACAGACAGACAGACAGACAGACAGACAGACAGACAGACAGGACAGACAGACAGACAGACAGACAGACAGCACCTGTCTCACCTCCTTCACACAGACACACACCACACACACACACACACACACACACTCAGACACACACACACACACACAGGCTACTTTTACAAAATCTACACAGACCTGCCTCAATCCTAAATACTAGGAATGCAGAGTAGCCTACTTGAATAACACATTTAGAGGTTGGTAAAAATACTTCAAACAAGGTGTGGTCTTTGTAAATATGATCTAAATGTTACTACAAAATGTGCTGCCCTGCTTTTTTCTCTCACTCGAATGTACACATTGATATGCTCCAGCGCACTGAAATTGAGCTTTTCCATAATAATCCAAATATCCATTATTAGAAACATTGATAAACATCCTCAATGCATTGTAGGTCTATTTTAGAAATATGCTAACCCTTTGAATTACAGTAAATCAGTAAACTAAGTACATTTACTCAAGTACTACTTGAGTTCAATGTTAAGACTACTACATACTTTTTAAATGTTTGCTAAATAGTAAATAGTGTACTTTTACTACAGTGCATTAATTGAACATCTTTAGTTACTTTGCAGACTTGGATTAATGCTGAGAAATATAATCAACCCTTAAATAGTTACACAGAGTAAATTCAAAAGCTACCCTGCAGTATACAAAGTATGTCAAACTATAGCTGCACCTTTGCCAGCGTTGATAAACACCTACTGCCATCAATAACTATAATTAAAATCCAAAACATATAATTACATATATTCTGAAATGGGCCAATCAGCATAAAGAGGTACTTTTAGTTTGATGCTAATAATGATATACTTTTACTTGAATAACATTTTAAATGAGCAGGACTTTTACTTGTAACAGAGTATTACATACACTCTGGTCAACTCTCTACTTGCTAACTAAGTACAATATCTGAGTAGGCTACTTCTTCCCACATCTGCAGGGAACTGCTCCCAGGAATAATACTTTTTTGATCAGTGTTTTGAGCGACCACCATGCACCCTCGAAACACGGGTTGGATATCAAGGTTATTACCAACTTCTTCTTAAATAAATCGGCAGCGACGAGAAATGTTCTATTTTACTTACCTTTCTCGTTGCTTCCCCCTAAGTAAACAACTGTCATGGCTTGCCAGCAATCTTGAAAACAATGATAAAGACCCCAGGTCCTTTGATCTGAGTCGGGACTTCACACACCCGGATAGAAAGTGTAAACCAGTGGATCAGTAAGTGGAGGACTGCTGTGGCTGACTGTCAGATGCTGGAGGCTATCACACACCTTAAAAATCCCTCAGCGGCCCGCCCCTTTTGCTTCTAGACAATCAGCACGCCCCCCACTGTCTGGTCAAATGTCATCAAAATGAAACTACATAAAAGTCGAATATCAATCTTAAAAAAGAAATACTGTACACTCTTAAAAATTCCATTATCTAAGTTGAATAAGAACAACAGCAATATACAAATTAAATGATTGACAGATGAAGCATAAACACCTTTTAAGGAACAATATAATGAATGTTTTGCTCCAAAAAAGGTCAGTTATTATAGATAATTGGATAATGCATTATACTTTGTAATGTAAGCTGGACCCATAAACTATAAACCTGATATATATTTGCTTATAGAATATCAAACAGCCTATGTATTTTTTTTCTGTTACAAAAACGGATTGAGAAAGAGATTTTTTTTATTGTTTTTATTAGATTTCTTTGCAGAAAATTACAACAATAATCGGTAAGAAAAACATGTTTATTGACCACTTTGGAAAGAGTGAACTGTATAAATGGTTAAACGATGTGGTTGATTCAAATTCTTAATATGAAACAAGTGGTTAATCTGAACAGAATTATGATGAATAAAGAAACCTTCTTGACATATACAAATGATTATGTTGGTATTTAAGATTCCAGCTGTTTTTCATAGTCATCGCCTGGCGGGCCCATGGAGGGGCAATAGGGGCGTCCAGAAGCAGGCAGCAGGTTCTCCCAGTACTCTCGACGAGCGCTAAGAAAAATGTTGTTAGATTAGATGTTTGTAATAATAATAATAATAATAATAATACATGGGACTTTTATAGCGCTTTTCATGAAACTCAAAGACGCTTTGACAGAGAGTTAAAAAAATAAAGACGAGAAAAAAAAAAAGAAAAAAAATCCAATCCAAACCTTTGCAGAGCAGAAACATGTGCTTGCTATTTCCTCTGGTATTTTGCCTACAGCTGTCATAAGCAATTATATGTAAAAAAAAAACACTGCTTTAAACCTTGTGTTTAACATACATGTAGCAGCTTGATTGTAAGGCAGTAGCTGTGTTTCTGCTCAGTCTTACCTAGCTCTGACCCAGGGTTTAGTGTGCATCTCCAGAGCAGCTCCCCACAGTCCGTGCTTCTCCGAGGCTGGAGGCAGGAATCCTCTCTCTGCGGCCAACTCTTCCGCTATAGCTCTGATGTGGTAGGCCTCGAATCCACAGCAGCCACCCATATCATACGATTTCCAGCATTGTAAGCCTCCCTCGCAATTTATGTATGTCCCAGCGGGTAATTGCTCTGGTCTCCATTGCTGAGAGGAGAGTAAAATGTCAGCATTTTGTTATAATGATCTTGACATTTCGTATACAGGGAGTTCAATAAGCTAACACGAATTGTACACTCTACACTCACCCTACATTAGTGCATGGGGATTAGGAATAATTGATTTAATTCCTTTTCAAGCACCACATAGGATTTCTAGTTTCCTCCCATTAAGTTATGAGACACAACAGAGTGGCCCACTGAGAACAGCTGTTAGATACGAGTTACAGTGGATCCAAAAGGGAGAACAGACATACACCTTAACAACACATGAGAGCATTCAGACCTTATTGGATGACATTAAGGTGCCCTTTGCTTTAATTCAGCAGCAGATGATACTGCTGGCTTGTCTGCCAGTAGGAACACTTTTACTTATGGTTCAATGTCCTCATGCCACCTGTGTAGACTGTCAGAAGATGGCTGTATCTGGTAGATGTAGTACATTTAGTGCAATATAAATACCCTGGAAAAGCCAGACTTTAGGGTAGATGGTGGTGGACACTACATCTCTGTTATCCAGCTGTTTTTCTCATGCTCTTTTCTCCTTGGCCAAGCTTCCCATATCTTCCAGGGTGAGACATGAAGTCGGTCTCCTGCAGCTTCTTTTGGTTTCCAATTACTCTGCTTACAGTTTGCTTCACTCATGGTTGAGTTATTTAATTCCAGAGGCAGTTTGGTCAAATTGATATATATTGTCTTTTTTAGGCAAAAAATTACATATTTAAAGGTATAACATTGAATCTTTCCCTAGAAAATGTCTAAATACGTGTAGATGTTATATGTTTTGTTAAGTTTTGAACAATTGTTCAATGTTTCCAAAAATGTTTAAACCTAAAGAAATCAGTAAATGTAATTAGGGCAACATTTTGTTTGGTCACCTGTGATGGCCCTGACTGCATTTGTGCAGCGTCAGCAAAATGAGTTTCTGAACGAAGCTGTCATCAACTGACTTTTAAAACAGTTTTAGGCCACAAAGTCTTTAAAATTAATACATTTTTAAGAGGATGAAGGATTTAAGTGATAGTCAACATACTCCTTTTTTTTTTACAATTGCATGCTGTTTTGATCTCCTTAAACCACATTGTAGTTTTGTTGTATAGTGCAAAACAACATATAGATTACATCATTACATCAATGTAAAATAATGAATGTTATTGAATGAGTGTTTCTTTTTGTTCTGCTCAAAAGGATATATAATAATGCTGACCAAAGGGGTACTCAGGAAGGCTGGTGTATCCCCCCAGGTTGCACTCAGGTGTGTGGAAGCCCAGCGGCTGAGATCATGAGATGAGCTTTCAGTCCAGCTTTGTCTAATCCTGCTTTCATCAACTTCACCGTACGGACGCACGTCAGAGGATCCAAGTGGCAATTTATTCCCGACAATGTCGCATCCTGCACGGGAACACATCAAAAAAATAAGATGGGGGAGCTGTAACATGTCAGACTTGTCCCTCTGTAAGTGGCCACATCCTAGAGGGTCAGTGTACCTGCTTTGACCAGCCTGACAGCACACTCTCAGGTGGGACTCCGTCCATGTCTCCGTGAGGTGAGATGCACAGTGTTGCACCCACTGGGTTACCGCTGGTCTTCAGCACCTCCACAGCCCACACCGCCTCTTCCACATGATCGACCAAACTACAGGAGGAATGTGCATACAATTATCAAACAATGAGCAGGAAAAGAAACACTGTATTCATACACGTTTCCATCTGTTGTACAGGGGCTGCTCAGACCTCCACTATGAAGAAATCAATGTTCTTCTTCACGAAGTCATCCATCTGTTTCTTAAAGATGGCCTTGACCTCAGGCTCGCTGTGACTCTTCACATAGCAGGGAGTCTTAGACACACATCCAGCGACCAACGCATCCCCCTCATTGGCTACCTCCCGGGCCATGTCACAGGCTGCCTCGTTGAATCTGGGCCCCTGGATTAGACAGAGCAAGTCGGACGATCAGATTGATATCGGTTTCATTGTTGTCTTGATATAAAAGGTTTTGTACTGACCGTGATGCCCTTGACATTGCCACTGATCTCCAGTTTATCCTCACTGCAGTAGAAGGTAAAGGTCTGGATCACGTTGGCTCCTGCTCTCAGGAAACTCCCTGTGGAGCTGCCGCACTGACAGAGAGACAAAGAAATATGCTTTAATTTAAAACACAAAGACATCATATGCAAATAAAAAAGTTCTTAGGACATAATGGGGAAATAAAGTCGTAGAAAAATTGAGTTTAAATACAATTTTGAGGTTCTTTGTTACATTTCCTGCTACATTATACATCTTCTCCACTTCAATTCAGAGGCAAATGTTGTACCTTTTACTACGGTACAAAAATGTGATAACACGTGACAGAGTATTTATTCACTGTGGTATTAGTACTTTTGGGACTGGAATACATTGTCCACCAGGGTAGGTAACACATGCTGTATGTACCTGCTTCAGGATGCTCTACAGCAGCTTCAGGTGTCCAGTGCCCAGCCTTCACGTAACCACGGCGCTCCAGCTGCATCACATACCTCCATCTCTCCTACAACACCTCGCCAGCATCCAGGCGCTCCAAGATACCCTGAATGTACACACACACACACACACACACGATGCCAAATACATTTAGCTGAATTTAAATGAACATTATCAGGCTTCTTTGTTTAATTATTTCACCAAAATGTATTCTAAGCATTTAGAACGTTCTTCTGAAAGGTAGGATAACGTTCTTTCAAAAACATTCTTTAAATGTTTTGATAACATTGGTTAGAACATTATGCCCTACTGTTCTTAAATGTTTTCACCCTGCAAGTTAGATTTGTTATGTTGCCAGAATGTTATTATTTTAGAGAAGGATAACATGCTTTATGTTTAAAACATTATGCAAATGTTCTGTGGTAACAATTTACTAATATATGTTTACATTATAGAATATAAAGACATAATATTCCTGTAATTATTCACTCAAAATTCCTGGGGTAAGTGGACTGACCACTGTGGTCATTAGGATGATTCTGATAGTTTACTTAACTATTGGAATTTGACTATTAACACATGTAAAAGGATGACTCGGAATCAGTTGGTGAGCGTAACATTTGTTTATGAGAAAAGGGGAGCTGGGAGTGGAGGTTGGTTATGGCAGCAGTGGTCGAGTAATCCCCGAAGCTTTTTGTGAAGCTTGTATCGAGGCTTGTATCGTTTTGGGCCAGTGACGTCATCGATGACAAACGAAGCCTCGCTGCCTGTCGATACCACGTGACTCCTTCAGGAAGCGATTCAGATCGGTTGAACCGTTGAACCACAACGCTCATACCCATGGATGTATAATAAGAAGAACCATATTACCCCTCCTGTACCCGGGCCCGGTGACACGATGGAATTAAGAGAGCTCAGACCCTCACTCATATAGAGGTCGGAACATGTCATAAGTATAAATAAATACAAGCATAGATAAATGTAGGATAAAAACATGAATAAATACAGGAATAATATCGTGCAGTGTTTTCAGGGAGATTCAGCGTGTGTGCTGTGGCTCAGCTGGAAGGAAAGCAGTTGACTCACGACCGCAGGGTCCCTGGTTCAACAACTGGTCCAATAGGCCTACGTATTTTTTTGTTGTTTATAAAAGCTACAGCTAAATGGAGATAATGTAGTTAATAAATGTATTCTTTGATATTTTATCCTTTAGCCTTCTCAGGCTACAACATGGTTAAGTTTATGAATATTATTAAGGAATACAAATCCCTCTTTTGCAATGTTTACCAGCCTCCTTAGGCTTTTCAATCACAATCATTCAACTGGAATAAAAACAATATTGTGACATGAAAATATGATTTAATGTTCGTTAGTTTAGAGTTATTCTAAGGCTTTACTCATTGGGGAACTCGGTATGAGATAGAGCACACTGTTGAGATGTCCAATCTGCCTGTTTTACACACTTTGAACAACAGTGGGGTTTGTGTTCAAATGAAGCCCATGATGAAGCCTCATGAGATGAACCCTTTTGCCGAACCAATTGGATGGAAAAGCTTCAAAGCTTCATAAGGCTTCATCTCGCCATCACTAGGAAACAGTTTTTCCAGGGTGGAGAGACCTGGCTGGTCTTGGGAGTATGGCAGGCCTTGGATTCCTCCTGGGAGAGACACACAAATGAGTGTGAGGCAAAAGCAGGCGAAATTGTCAAAGAATATGCTGGTAAAAAGCTAGAGCGGCACGCAACAAACCGTTCACGGCAACAATCCGGCAGGGAATGAGAGCAGGCTGCAGGCTTTCATAGTGTGGCTGATGAGCAGGTTGCAGGTGTGGTTGGATTGGAGATTGCTCCCAGCCGTGTAGAGCAGACCAGCAGGCAGGTGGGGGGAGAGAGGGAGAGACACACAGTAGAAACAAAACACATACAACACTAATAGGGGTTTCAGGGACAGGCAGTGATAGTCGGTCCGTTCTTCTGTATGTCTGTCTTTGGTTTTCTAAGTGTTATTCGATCCATATGACAATAGAGATATGTGCATAAACAACAAAAACACTTGGGGTATAATGTTTCGAACAATGTTGGAATAATGTTTTTAGAGAACGTTATCCTACCTTTCAGAAGTACATTCTAGGAACCAAAATAAAACTTCTCGATGAAACCATTCCTAGAACAATGAATGGTAACATTCTCAGAATGTTTTTAGAACCAACAATGTCTAGCTGGGAACTCAGACATGCGCAAACATCCAATATCATGAATTACGTGCTTGTTTTTTAAAGGAAAATGTGGTGACATCAGATTTTTTTTTAAACATCCTTTTCAAACAAATTCAACAAGTTTATTTTTTAAAGCGCACTACAAATAAATCTGATGTTGACCATAACCGTGTTAATATTTCGCATCACAGGAACATTTTATAAAAAAAGAATAACCTCCTCAAAACATTATCCAAATGTTGCTTTCAAAATGTTCTTCTTTGGTTATCATGTAACATTGAGGGAATGTTTTATAAAAGAACATCGTTAATGTGTTACCCAACAACGTCCAAAACACATCCTTAGAATGTTGCAGGCCAAACGTCCCGCCTTTGTTAACATATCACATTAAAGGAACATTTTATAAAAATAACTTTCTGTCATCTCAGGCCTCAATAACATCCTCAGAACATCCTCAAATGTTGCAGTTAAAACGGTATGTCTTAGTTAACCTTAAACCTTATAGGAACATTATTTGAAAAAATAAACGTCCTAAAAAGGTTCTTTGAACATCAGATTAAAACGTTTCTTTAAAACCTTATTATAACCTGTAGGTAATGTTAGCCAAAGTTGTGAGAACGTTCCCCGCTGGGCATGCACTGGACTGACTTGAAGTGAATAAAAAGTCTGAAATATCCAAGATAATAATTAGATTAGATAAGATTAAACTTTATTGTCATTGAGAGTACAAGTACAACGAAGTGCAGAGAAGTGTGCAACTCGATTTTGACAGGAAAGCAACTGGAGACTTCTAGAATTGTGTGAGTAACATTCTGTTTTTAGACTTCTCTGTTTCAGTGTGTGTACTCTGTAGTTGATCTGACTGAAATTGTGATTTTAATTCTCAAAACTGCTACAGTATCTGTCAGGCAGAAACTTGGGACAAGTAATTTGACTGAAACCTTAAAACTGAACTAACTGACTGCTAGGGTTAACTTTAATTTAAACATTTGTAGAATACTAAGAGCTTTATTGAGTAGGTGTAACTGTATTAAGGGTTAAACTCGTAACTTTATAACTTAGGGTTTAATGTAATTGACTTAAAAGACAATAACAAGTCAGGAGGAAGCCAGTCTAGATTTCCTTTTGGAGGGCCACCAGCTGCAGGAGAGTTAACTAATTAAAGGAACGTGGCCCCACAGCTGTGAGAACTCAGCAATCAGGTGTCCATTTTAGGTAGCACTTTCCTGGAGCGTCAGACAGGCTAAGACTGACAAAGACATTAGAGTCCTGCGGGAGTAAGACTGACAAAGACATTGGAGTCCTGCGGGAGTCCTGCGGGAGGCAAAGAGGAGTCAAATCCTACTTTGATTGAGCTAAGTATCGCTGGTGTTTTATTTTCTTTGGTTGTTAGCCCCCTCATGATATAATCATGTGTATTTTCTCCATTCCTGTTTATGTGTCTTCTCGCAATTATCACTGGCCCCGTGTATCTCGTAATCTATATAACCGGCCTGCTCTCGTCTATCCCACATGCTCCACTGAGATCCAATATCTAGTTTCAGGCGGCCTGTGGAACTGCCAGTCAGCTGTTCCTAAGGCTGACTTCATTTCTGGCTATGCTTCCCTGCAGTCTCTGGATTTCCTTGCTCTCACTGAGATGTGGATTACTCCATCCAACACATCCACCCCAGCAGCTCTCTCCACAGCATATTCCTTCTCCCATACACCTAGACCCACTGGTAGAGGAGGTGGCACTGGTCTCCTGCTCTCTCCCAAATGGAGCTTTTCCCTCTTCAAGCTACCTAACTTTACTCCTTCCACCTTTGAATTCCATGCCGTCACAGTAACCCATTCTATACAATTAACCATTGTTGTTCTCTACCGTCCACCAGGTGCCTTGGGGGACTTCTTGGAGGAATTAGATCATCTCCTCTCACACATCCCTGAAACTGGTCCTCCCGCTGTACTTCTCGGAGACTTCAACCTCCAGACAGGGAAGATAGACGAACTAACATCTCTGTTAACCGCCTTTGCTTTCTCACTGTCTCCGTCCCCCACCGACTCATAAAGCTGGCAATGTCCTTGATCTCATATTCTCAAGGAACTGCACTACTTCTAACCTCTCTTGTAACCCGCTTCACACATCCGATCACTTCTTCATTTCATTCTCTCTACCCCTTTCCAACATAGTCAAACTAATCTCTTCTCATCCTGCACCTGTCCGCCGTAACCTTCGTTCCCTCTCCCCCTCTACCTTTGCCTCATCGGTGCTCTCAGCCCTCCCTTCCTCTGACTCGTTCCAACTCCTACCTCCAAACTCTGCAGCAGAAACTCTCCTCTCTACTCTCTCATCCTCTCTGGACTCTCTCTGTCCTCTCACATCTCGGCAGGCTCGTCAGTCCCCTCCTGCTCCCTGGCTAAATGATGTACTGCGTGCTAATAGAACCGTCCTTCGGGCAGCAGAGCGGAAATGGTGGAAATCCAAACACCGTGACGACCTCCTAACTATCAGGCTCTCCTCTCCTCTTTCTCTGCTTCGATCGCTCAGGCAAAAAGCACTTTCTTTCAAGATAAGATCCAATCTTCCTATTCAAATCCCCAAAAACTATTTTCCATCTTCTCCTCCCTCCTGGACCCCCCCAAAGGCCCTTCCCCCTCCTCACTTCTGTCAAGCGACTTTGTTAACCCACTTTGAAAAAAGGTTGATGATATTCGCTCTTCTTTTTCTGACTGACCTCTACTCACCGCTGGGTCACCAGATCCTCCTTTCACCAACACACTGACCTCCTTTTCCCCTCTCTCTCCAAGTGAGGTTCTTACCCTCATTACCTCTGCCCGCCCTACCACCTGTCCTCTGGACCCTATCCCTTCAAACCTCCTTCAGACTATCGTTCCTGATATTCTACCGTTTCTCACCCATTTCATCAACACTTCTCTAACTTCTGGTCACTTTCCAAACAGTCTCAAGGAGGAAAGAGTAAACCCTCTCCTAAAGAAACCCACTCTCAACCCGTCTGATGTTATAAACTACAGGCCTGTCTCTCTCCTTCCGTTCCTGTCTAAAACACTTGAACGCGCTGTCTTTAGACAACTCTCCTGCTATCTCCATCAGAACAACCTTCTGGATCCGCACCAGTCTGGTTTCAAGGCAGGTCACTCCACAGAAACTGCCCTCCTTGCTGTCACTGAGGAACTGCAAACTGCTAAAGCAGCCTCCCTCTCCTCTGTCATCATCCTTTTGGACCTGTCTGCTGCATTCGACACGGTGAATCATCAGATCCTCCTTCGCACTCTCCAAGAACTTGGAGTTTCAGGCTCTGCACTTTCCCTCCTCACCTCATACCTCAAAGACCGCACCTACAGGGTTACTTGGAGAGGGTCCGAGTCCGACCCTTGTCAATTAACTACAGGGGTCCCCTCAGGGCTCTGTTCTTGGTCCCCTCCTCTTCTCCTTGTACACAAACTCGCTCGGATCAGTCATTAGCCCGCATGGTTTTTCATACCACTGCTACGCTGACGACACCCAATTAATTCTGTCCTTTCCCCGCTCAGAGACCCAGGTCGTCGCACGCATCTCTGCTTGTCTAGCTGACATCTCTCAGTGGATGTCTGATCATCACCTCAAGCTCAACCTTGACAAGACTGAACTGCTTTTCCTTCCGGGAAAAGATTGTCCCACTCTTGACCTAACAATCAACATTGGCACCTCTGTTGTTTCCCCGACTCAGACTGCAAGGAATCTGGGTGTGACCCTAGATAACAACCTGTCCTTCACTGCAAACATCGCTGCTACAACCCGCTGCTGCAGATACACGCTTTACAACATCAGGAGGATGTGTCCCCAGCTGACCCAGAAAGCGACGCAGGTTCTGGTCCAGGCTCTCGTCATCTCACGCCTAGACTACTGCAACTCCCTCCTGGCTGGTCTACCTGCATGTGCCATCCGACCTCTGCAGCTCATCCAGAATGCAGCGGCTCGTCTGGTCTTCAACCTTCCTAAATTCTCCCACACCACGCCGCTCCTCCGCTCACTTCACTGGCTTCCGATAACTGTTAGAATCCACTTCAAGACAATGGTACTTGCGTACCATGCTGCGAATGGATCTGGCCCTTCCTACATCCAGGACATGGTTAAACCGTACACCCCAGCACGTGCACTCCGCTCTGCATCAACCAAACGGCTCGCTGCACCCTCGCTGCGAAGGGGACCCAAGTTCCCATCAGCAAAAACACATGGGTTTGCTATCCTGGCTCCAAAATGGAGGAATGAGCTCCCCATTGACATCAGGACAGCAGATAGCTTACACACCTTCCGGCGCAGACTGAAAACTCATCTCTTTCGACTCCACTTCGAGCGATAGAACTATTAACAAAGCACTTATATACTAATAAAGGGCTGGCTTATCTAAAGCCAGTTGAGTAGCACTTGAAATGTTTTTGCTCTATGAAGCCTGATGTACTTATATGATTCTGTTTTCTTCAAGTTTGTATTTTGTTGGTCGAACGCACTTATTGTAAGTCGCTTTGGATAAAAGCGTCAGCTAAATGCAATGTAATGTAAGTGCAAAACAAGCTGGAAAGTGCAGAGAGATATTCATAGTATATGATATATAAAAATACATCTTAGTTCTTGTCTCGAATTAAATATGGCCTTGAGGACATCCTCATTTATGTAGTTCAGGTCCAAGGCTTTTATTGTAATTTGTCCATAGCTACAGTGTAGTTATGACAATGAAATTCATAGGTCACAGGCTCATCCAACAGTGCAACACACAATAGAGTGCAAGTAATAATATAACAGGTCTAGTACAGTTGAGAAGAGCCCACACTCTTTCAGTGTTAAGACAATATTTGAAATGCAAATGAGACAAATAGACCGATAAGGCTGTGCAAACTGACTCACCATTCTCTTCTTGCTCTCCATGTTCGAAGTCTCTGTGCACCGTTAAAGAAACAGCCCGGCGCGATCCTGCAGAGCAGCGTCACAGAGAACACTGTAATCTCTTCTCACGAGATTCAGGAAACCACATACTACAGTGAGCAGTGAGGTCTCATGCATTACAGACTGCTGGCCCTCCGCTTAAAAGGAGAGCATAATTCGATGTAATTCAAATGTATTTTAGTTTTGAATAAATTGGGTTTTCGTCAAAAGATCCAGCAGACTGATGAACAATTCTCAACATAGCCTCCTCCAGCCATATAAAAGAAGACTGTGTTGAATACATATTGGTGTCTGTTTTTCTTTTCATCAAAAAAAAAAATATATTTATAGCATTAATTCAACGTATTATTATTATGTATACGTTTAATGATAGCCTAAATAATAATACTGGACGGGTTATCCTGGTTGAACTTGACAAATGTGTACTTGTGTCAGGTGTGTTATTATGTTTAGACTATTCAGAATTGAAGATGCTGTAATTGCAGAAAAGTGACTAAGTCAATCTTCATAACATTTGTATTAACAGTTATTTATATTTTCTTTACATTAAGACTAACACTTAATATATATATATGTTTTTGTTGGTGCCATCTAGCCTACCAAACAAAAGGTTTGGACACTAGCACTAATATAACCAATCAATTCACCTTTGGACACTATTAACCTCGAAAACAGCATTATCTAACCTTGAGCTATACACCTGGTTAGTTAATCATTTTCAAAATAAGACCAAAAAAACTACATTGGCACCACTTGATTTTTCCACATAAAAGATCTGTACTCCTGAGTCCTGAATGTGCCCTGAATAAAGTCCAAGCTCAGAGGGGACCGTGCTTTCGGCTACTAAACTGGTGCTATCAAAATAATTGCTTTTAAATGGTCTATTGTTTTTACTATATGGCTGTTATTGTTTTTATTCTTGTTTGTGTTTGCCTTTTTATTCGTATTATTTTACTTATTTTACGGTTTGAGAGCTGAGCGGTGTGATTTTTGTATTTTATTCCTCTATACAGCACTTTTGGAGGTTTACAGTGCATTACAAAGAAAGCTGTATCTTATCTTGCACCTCCTGCCATCGGCCTGAAGAGGGCGCTGCTCAGAGTGTTGGTAGAATCAATCTGACGTCACTTCCTGGCGGGATTTTAAAAACGGATATAAACAAAACAAGTGACCGAAATATTGAACGACACGGTTTTTTTTTGTAAACAATGCTTCTGGTGTCAAATAACATATCATTAGAGTCGTACTACGGTAACGAAACGGTATCTTTATTACACTTTGTTTTACCGGCAACGATACGCTTCATAAATAAGGTAACATATGTTTATAAACTCCTGTTTTAATTGCTATACCAGTATTGTTATATAGAAATATGCTGAGGTTGGAGTTTGACTCCTGTATTTGAAGCACTTTATTTATTATGAGTGATGTTTGGATATAAAGAGTATATGAATGTTGTTGATCGTAGTTTATTTATATGCTTTAAAAACAAGAATGTCAACCAGTGTACCAAAAGACAAAATAAAACTAACGATACACTTTATTGTGTGCTGTTGTCTCATAGCCCATACACTGCTGCGTTGATACTAATCCTAAACTAAACAATTGTTCCTTGTCAGAGAAAAGCAAGAATAACTGTAAATCGGCTGGATTATAAACGTCTTATTAAACTGTTTATCCAGCTGTTTTATTACTTTTACCCGGTGAGTCACTATTGCGTTTTACAAAGACTAGTGCATTACTTGCTGACAATTATATTTACACTTGTTTGCATATTAATCTTGTTGTAAGAATCATATTTAGCCTATCATGTAACCCTCCTGTTGTCTTCGGGTCAAATCTGACCGATTTACTACTTTCATCAATCATAACCTTTTTGTTTTACATTCGATTGCATTCAGGCTTTATGATATCCTTCACAGTAGACATTTGAACATATACAATAGCTGATCACCACTTTCATTGCCTTTTGGATGATTTAGTCAACTTTGTAACACCCATGGTGTTCCTGGTCAAAAATGACCGCCATAAAGAAAAGGAATTAGTAACCATCCAGATCAGATAAAACACACACACACACACACACTCTAGATGTGTCCCCCCTTTATGTGCCCCATCCCCCCATGTGGATCACACTCAAAACACACACACACAGAACAATTTGACACATTTCCCGCTCTTATGTGCCCGTCCCCCCACATGGATCACACCTGGCACACGCAATACATGTTCAGTGTCTATTCTTTGTGTACTGCAGTTGTTCATGTATACCAGTAGTCTGATACAATATGTACAGTTTGAAAGGGTGTTAAATGACATTTGGTGATTGTTTTTTGTGTTAATGTAATAGCAGTTAAAACAGGACCGGTCAAATTTGACCTTGAACACGAAGACAATAGGAGGGTTAATATTCAGTAATGTGTCTGCATGATTCTTGCATTTAATTTGAATGTATTAGTAAATTCAATAGCTCTTAAATTCATTCTTTTCAATCACTGTCTGCTACTACATCGGTTAATCTCCTTGGATTAAACCCAGATGATCTGATATCTCTGAGGTGACTTGTCTCTCCAGGCACCTTCCCTCTTCTGCGATGGACCCGTCTGATGGCAAGGGGAGCCTGAACCTCATGGTGGAGGCTGTGGCCCTGAATCCTGCTGCGGACAGCTCCAACGCACAGAAAGACACCCCGCCTACAGACATGCTGAGGTTCTCCCTCTACCTCTGCTTTAACACGTCTATCATTCATTTAACAATGTATACACCCCACCTCTATTACCTCTTATCATAAAACAATGACGAGAATCTTTAAAGTTGCTACATGTACTGTTTTCAGAATGAATCAACAGATGTCCAACCAGTGTTTTGAGATGGCCGTACAGCTCCAAGCAGGTACCAAATACAACTGTGTGTTTGTTCCATCATGTTGAGTTTCAATGAAGTGTGCAATCTAAAAAAAAAAAAAGACTTAACATTGTTTTTGGAGCAAAGATGGACCGATTAAAAGTAATCACAGAGCTTCAGTCGGCAGACTACAAAGTAACTCACGAAGCAAGAAATCTGGGTGTAGTGATGGACTCAGACCTGAATTGTAACAGTCACATTACAACAGTTATTAGGTCTGCATACTACCACCTGAAGAACATATCAAGGTTTAAAAAACTAATGTTGCAACAGGATTTGGAAAAACTTGTCCATGCTTTTATCTTCAGTAGACTGGACTACTGCAATGGTGTCTTCACAGGTCTCACTAAAAAATCTATTAGGAAGCTGCAGCTGATTCAGAACGCCGCTGCTCGAGTCCTCACTAACACTAAGAAAGTGGATCACATCACTCCTGTTCTGAAGTCTTGACACTGGCTTCCTGTGTGTCAAAGAATTGATTTTAAAATACTACTGCTAGTTTTTAAATCACTAAATGGCTTAGGACCGAGGTACATAGACGACCTACTCCATCACTATGAAGCATCCAGGAGTCTCAGGTCTTCTGGGTCGGGTCTGCTCTCTGTTCCATGGAAAAGCAGCTTTTAGTTATTATGCCCCAACAATTTGGAACAAACTGCCTAAATCATGCACGTCCGCCGAAACACTTCCTATTTTTAAATCCCGACTAAAAACGCACCTATTTGCCGCTGCTTTTAATTGAGCTGCCCATACTCACACTACAGTATGCCTTTTAGTCATGTATTCTGTACCTGCTGTGTTTATTTATTTAATTTCATTATCTTTGCTTTTGATGCCTGTTTTTAAATGCCATTTAATAATGTATTTATGCTGTATTTGTTCTTAAATGTCTTTTTGTTTTTATTTTGTAAAGCACTTTGAATCGCCACGTGCTGAAAAGTGCTATATAAATAAAATTGCCTTGCCTAACATTGTTTATTGTCACAGGAAAAAGTAAGAGATCATGCAGCACATCTGAAGCTGAAAGAGATTTGTGAGTATTTGAAATATACATTTTTAAGTGGACCTAGAATGTTAGCCACATTTAAGATGAGTGTTCATTTCAACATGTTTACTGTTACCATGTCTTTTTCTAATGAAATGTTGCAGGCCAGTTTATGTCAAAGAGCTGGAAGGAGTCAAGACCCTTAACTTTAACAGCACGTTAACACTGCACAGGTAAACCAACGCCTTATCATTTACAATGTCCACGATATAATGCACAAACAAGTTGAATAAAGAAGCAGTAAACTTTGATCAATCAATGATTGAACTGGTTCTTTCAGAATGCAGATGTGGCACGCTATTGGAGAAACAGTGAAGGGGAATTATTCAGGGTCGGTGTAAGTACATTTACAACATGTTAAAACAACTCGTATACAACTATGTTTGATTATTTGAACGACTGTGTCTTTATGTTTCTCTCAGTGCCCTGAAAGCTGGGAATGATCGCTGCATGGCTCTTTGTTCACAAATAAAACAATGTCAGCAAGTAAGCACCCTAATCATTGTGTATACAATATTCAATTGGATAAAATGGTACTTTGTATTTCCTTGATGTTGTTGTAGATAACTTGTTTGAGCAGGAGAGTTATTGAATGTTGGTCAGACAGGTATATGGTGGTGAATTACCTCGTAAGACAATTTGGAAAGCAATATTTGGTTTTGGTAATATCATTTAAGTAAGTAATAACAACACCACTGCCAACCGCTCACTTCCAAAAAGTTTCCACAAAGAAATCCCCACTTTGGACTTGAAAAGGCACTGGAAATATACTTCCTGTTAATGTTACTTTACTTTAAGTACAGTGTGTCTGTATGATCTAATCAGTTTATATTATCCCTTCCTCTAATACAGTGATTCTCAAATGGGGGTACGCGGACCCCTGGGGGTACGTTGGGGTACTGCAGGGGGTACGTGAGATTCAAAAGAAAAAGGTTAATTAAAAAACACCATGCATAATTACAAAAATAATCTTAGTACAATAAGTTATATAGAAAACACAATTGTATATAAAATATTCCTAGAACCACTAAGGGGGTCCTCATATAAACATGTCAAATGTGTGTATTGTATTTTATAGTTTTTGCATAATCAATTTGTTCATTGGTTTGTTAAACATATATTACTTCAATTGAAAAACTCCGTGGACATTTAAAAAAAAAAAAAATGTTTTCGTTCTCATGCATAAAGATGAAAATATGCTTAGTTTGTTGTAATTCATGCATGAAGGAGTTAATAAATCACACACTGATGGAACATCACTATATTATAATTATTTATAGGCTTTTTATATCAAAAATGTTCGGGGTCGGTCAGGGGGTACTTGGCTGAGAAAATGTTTCAAAGGGGGTACATTACTGAAAAAAGTTTGAGAAGCACTGATCTAATACATGTAATATCACTATGTTCTTGGTGAGCTTTTAAGGAAGATGTCTTTCAAATGATTGTTCAGATTTGAGAGAACGGATCGACTCGTACATGTTTACTGCCACAAGTTGAGATGTATGAATTAATTATAGCAGGAAATTGTAAAAACGTATTTTAGGCACCAGAAAAATCAAGTATTTGCTATATATTTATTAATATTTTCACTGCTTTGCCTTCTTGTCGGACAGCCCATCCTTACAGGGTGGTGGAGTTGTCATATTAATCAATGCTCTCTTCAAAGCCACTTTGGTGTTTTAACGGGTCAGTTTAGACTCGCCAAACTCGCACAATAACGAACAGTTAAACAGTTAAATTAAACCCTAATAACTTGATAAGCAGGGGAGAGAAAACTGGAACTGGCTGGTTTTTTAAAGCTGACAGTAGTTATAACCGCCCCTCTTTATGACCTTGTTATCAAAGAGGTTGTTTTCTGGGACTAGAGCATGGGTCAAGGAGGTTGTTTTCTGGGACTAGAGCATGGGTCAAGGAGGTTGTTTTCTGGGACTAGAGCATGGGTCAAGGAGGTTGTTTTCTGGGACTAGAGCATGGGTCAAGGAGGTTGTTTTCTGGGACTAGAGCATGGGTCTAGGAGGTTGTTTTCTGGGACTAGAGCATGGGTCTAGGAGGTTGTTTTCTGGGACTAGAGCATGGGTCAAGGAGGTTGTTTTCTGGGACTAGAGCATGGGTCAAGGAGGTTGTTTTCTGGGACTAGAGCATGGGTCTAGGAGGTTGTTTTCTGGGACTAGAGCATGGGTCTAGGAGGTTGTTTTCTGGGACTAGAGCATGGGTCAAGGAGGTTGTTTTCTGGGACTAGAGCATGGGTCTAGGAGGTTGTTTTCTGGGACTAGAGCATGGGTCAAGGAGGTTGTTTTCTGGGACTAGAGCATGGGTCAAGGAGGTTGTTTTCTGGGACTAGAGCATGGGTCAAGGAGGTTGTTTTCTGGGACTAGAGCATGGGTCTAGGAGGTTGTTTTCTGGGACTAGAGCATGGGTCAAGGAGGTTGTTTTCTGGGACTAGAGCATGGGTCAAGGAGGTTGTTTTCTGGGACTAGAGCATGGGTCTAGGAGGTTGTTTTCTGGGACTAGAGCATGGGTCAAGGAGGTTGTTTTTCTGGGACTAGAGCATGGGTCAAGGAGGTTGTTTTCTGGGACTAGAGCATGGGTCAAGGAGGTTGTTTTCTGGGACTAGAGCATGGGTCAAGGAGGTTGTTTTCTGGGACTAGAGCATGGGTCAAGGAGGTTGTTTTCTGGGACTAGAGCATGGGTCTAGGAGGTTGTTTTCTGGGACTAGAGCATGGGTCTAGGAGGTTGTTTTCTGGGACTAGAGCATGGGTCAAGGAGGTTGTTTTCTGGGACTAGAGCATGGGTCAAGGAGGTTGTTTTCTGGGACTAGAGCATGGGTCAAGGAGGTTGTTTTCTGGGACTAGAGCATGGGTCTAGGAGGTTGTTTTCTGGGACTAGAGCATGGGTCTAGGAGGTTGTTTTCTGGGACTAGAGCATGGGTCTAGGAGGTTGTTTTCTGGGACTAGAGCATGGGTCTAGGAGGTTGTTTTCCTTTATACACAACACAATAAAGATTGACCTGAAAGTACAGCATCAACAGTGATTATTGAAATTGAGATGATTCATTCTGAACCAGATTCCCTCTGTTTTCTTAACAGGAGTCAAAAGATCTTCAAGATGAAGTTACCGAAGTACTGAAGAAAAGGCTTGGTACGTATGATGGTTTACGATGAAAAAAATTACAACTATATTTGGAATTTTTCCGCAGATTTTTAGCAATCGTTGTGTGTGTAGAAATGAAGCGGCTCATTGATGAGAAAATGAAAGAGATGGAAGACTTGAAGTCCAAGAAAGAGGACGGGTTTACAGAGAAGTACAAAGCTGCGATGGAGAAAGGACAGGAGAACCTGGAGAAATACAGAAAGTTGGGCGTCATGACACAAAACGTCCTCAGGGTAAACAAATCGCACCAGACTTATATTAACTCTTAAATGGGCATTCACTATTTACACTGTTATTACACCCTTATTGTACATGCATAAGCCCTTATACACCACTAGTACTCCGTTATACACCCATATTACACTGTTATTACACCCATATTACACTACATATAAAAGCAATATTACACTGTTATTACACTCCATATAAAAGCAATATTACACTGTTATTATAACAATGTCATTAGTCCCATATTACACTGTTATTATACCCATATTACACTCCATATAAAAGCAATATTACACTGTTATTACAATATTATTACTCCCATGTTATTATGCCCCATGTTACATTACATCCATGTCACACCATTATGAGACCCGTATTACACCCATGCTACACTGTTATTACAAACATATTGCACTGTTATAAGACCAATATTAAACCAATGTATATTATGCCGTATTTACAATGTAATGACCATGGTAATGACATACATTTTACACATGGACAAAGCCTATCCCCCAGGATACAGAAACCATTTAACAATTTGTATTCAATATAAAATAAGAAAATACATTATCTGTCCCTACATTAACAATGACTTCAATAGCATATGCAGCTTTTGTACTAAGTAAATGTTTCTCTTCAGGGCATCATCTTGGCCTGCAGAGTCAACTGGATGGAAGATCCCACACTTCGAGACATCGCCATGACGCTGGAGGACTTGCCCTTCTCTGACTAAAAAACAAATCAATGTATCTTATATTTATACGTGTCTGTATTGTATTGTCAAATAAAGAATCAATAAAAGTACTCAAACCACTCTTGTGATTTATGGTAAAGGTAATGTAGAGACGTCCAGCAGCCACTAGAGGGCAGAACCGGAAGCAAAGAGATGCTCCTCACTCTGCACATCCTGTCAGTGAAGAAGAAAGTGAGGCTGCACGTGTTTACAGACCCCAAGACGAATATACTTTGAATAACTGTTTAACATTTGGATTTGTGGATCTCTAACTGGAATACAACTAATTAAAAATGCCGAAAGTCAAGCCGGAGAGGAGGAGCAGGCAGCACCAAGAGGTGAAAAACCAAGGTATGTTTCTCCAGGAGGAGTTAGCGTTAGCACGATAGCCATTAGCAAACATTACTGTCAGCTGATGGAGGGAATGGGCTTTAAATGGCCTTTATATCATATCCCTGCAACACATACTGAGATGTTTACTACTCCAGTACCGGTTTAAAAATAACACATTGTTGGTATTTGGGGTTGTCAAATCTGCCGCATGTGTTTACAGTACACATCTGTTTACTAACGCTCAATACATTTTGTGACTCACCAAAGTGAATCGCTATTTAACGTGGCACCATTTGTCAATGTAAATTCACAGACAGTGTTGTAAAAATACTTTAAACATTTCGAGTGCCTTTTAGTTGTTTCGCATGTTTATTCGTTTCTTAACTTTAATTGTCATTGTCCCCCTCTATATTCTCATGTGTACTACCTGTGTTCTTCTCTTATTCTGCTATAACTCCTGATTTCCCTACACTGCAGGGATCAATAAAGGTCCATCTTATCATAGAGATGTACCCCAATTAACCAGTTCATTTTGGGGGAAATGCCAATTAAGTTATCAGTCGCAAAAGTAATGTTATGTACATTTCTGTCATAGTTACATATAAGCTCTTACATTATATTAACACCAAATCATATGTTCATGTCTTAATGTTATTTGGCTTCTTCAAGGTCCCATGTCATGGCCATTTCTACTGATCATAATTCCATTGTTGAGGTCTACTAAAATAGATTTATATTGTGCAATTTTCCAAACTCACATTGGTTTCTCATACAGCATCTCTGTATAGTACTATGTGTATTGTCCTAAATGGCTTGTTGGAGCTCCTGCCCCTCCCTATGAGCCCAGTGGCCAGCGAAACCCAGCCCAAACACACACACACACCCGCAGCCTGGCTGGGAGTTTGTGTGTGTGCTCACCGGATGCTCACACACCGACTCACAGCCTCGCCACGTTTTATGAGAGTCTGACTCTTCGGACAAAGCATTTTAATGTTATTAAATTATGCAAGAGCCCTTCAGTTAGAATTGGATGTAAATATATACCTTGTTTTACTAATCTACATCACACAAACTCAGTCCAACGTGTCTCATCTTGTCTGTTGCAGGGATTATGTTTAACACCGGCATCGGTCAGCACATCCTGAAGAATCCACTGGTTGTCAATGGGATAATTGAGAAGGTACTGGTGCAACGTACAGTTAATTTTGTACACACATACACGCCTATTTGTGACCAAAGACTCTAATGTTACAAAGATGATCACGATATACAGTGTTGTTAAACCCTACTCATGGTTCATGATTTTCAGGCTGCCCTGAGGCCGACGGATGTGGTTCTGGAGGTGGGACCTGGTACTGGTAACATGACCGTGAAGCTGCTGGAAAAAGCCAAGAAGGTGAGAGCATGAAGGAGCAGTGGCGGTTCTAGACCAATTTGACTTGGGGGGGGCCAGTTATTTTCTGAGGGGGGCACAATAAATGCAGGACGAAAAAGAGAACTAGACAGTATGAAGTATATAAGAAAACAATGCAATACAGTTATTGGTATTTGTTTCAGTACACCTATTTATTTCAGATATATCTTATAGTTATTACTGTTAGCTTCAGCTTAAGTTATAGTACCATTTTTGCACTAACACCATATCATATTTATATAAAAATAAAGGCAATGAACAGTTACATCTCTACTTTAGATCTACAATTACACAGATACAATAGTTTAAATCACCTTCAATTATCGTGGTCGTCTCTCGAAACGTAGGTTTCAATCAGTCTTTCTTGGATGCAACAGCCTCTGATGATCCCAGATGAAAAGTGTTTGTTTTTAGCACGCTTCAGCCGGACAGTGAAAGTGAGTGCACCGCTCTAATGGGTCCTGAGTGCACCGCTCCAATGGGTCCGACTAGAATGACGAATAACGTTAGTCCCGCCTATTCCGTCATTCAATAAATCGTGTAATAAATCATACATTTTTCATTTTTAGGGAGGTCAGTGTTAGGGGGGCACTGCCCCCCCCCCCCTAGAACCGCCCCTGTGAAGGAGTCAACTCAATATCATTAATTTAGCCATGTGCCTCTATGCCAGGGGTTCTCACACTTTTTGTTTATGCGGACCACTATTTATTATCAAGGATTTTCACGGACCACCTCATATGTAAACCGTAAAAATAAGTACATATATAAACGTAGTGTTAAAACGCCGATATTTTTGTTATAGTTAATTATAGACAATCAAAAGTAAATTGAAGCCTATCTGATACTTTTGTCGCACGTGTGACCGGTGTCTGTCTGCGTTGTGTATGTTTCTCAAAGAGGACGGCGGACGCTATTTTAATTAGGTCATCCCAAACAATGCCACAAGTGCGCACGCACTCTCTCTTTCTCTCACTCTCTCAGTCTCTCACACACACACGGTGCTTCCCGGGCCGTATCCAGGATTTCCTACATACCGAGGAATCTCCTCTTTCCAACAGTGTATACAACTCAAAATGTGTCTTCGGGTCAACGCGACTGATTTCGATAGAGCAAGTCACATGAGGTGGTCCCCGAAAATCCTTGATAATAAAAAGTGGATTTTATTTAGCTTTTTTCCACGGACCACCTGCAGTACCCCGCGGACCACAGTTTGAGAACCACTGCTCTATGCATTTGAACAGAATGTTACATCAGTGTTTCATGGATCGAATGTTGTCGGGGTTATTCCTTTTATTTGTATCCAAACCTCATAGAAACGTGGTTTTCCATCACCTTTTCTTTCTTTGGTTTGAGGTATTCAACAGCTTTTAACAATCTAATTGGACAGTGCATTAGAAAAGTTAACATGTAGCTAACTGACATTTTAACCACATTTTCCAGCTTACATTTGTCCTTCATCTTTTGCTTTTATCTGTTTTCTTTGTGTTTTTTGAAGTGTCCACAGCAGTGTTACAGTAATTGTGTTTCAGTGTGCAGTCATTACAGAAATGTCTATTTTTGCAGGTGGTGGCCTGTGAGTTGGACGGCAGATTAGTGGCTGAACTTCAGAAAAGAGTACAGTGCACGTGAGTGGAGAGGGCGGCATGATTCCACCACATATACATGTAAACCTAAGTATCTGCAATATATGAAAAGTAAATACATGATCTATTAATAAAAACATTGTGTTTTCCTACAGACCCATGCAGGCCAAACTTCAAATATTAATCGGAGATGTGCTAAAAACAGAATTGCCTTTCTTTGACGTCTGTGTGGCTAATTTACCTTACCAGGTAAATACATGTTTCCTCCACTCTGCATCACTTTATCGTCAGTCATTCAAAAACAATCCTGCATTTGATTTTAAACCCAACTCTTCTCAATTTGCAGATTTCGTCACCATTTGTCTTTAAGCTCCTTCTGCATCGACCTTTCTTCAGGTAAGAAATAACCCATGGCTACTGAGAGGACACTGTGTATGTCCATGTTGAGCGTTCAGCATTTCTCTTGTGTTTTACCTTTGCTCAGGTGTGCCGTGTTGATGTTCCAGAGAGAGTTTGCCATGCGACTTGTTGCCCAACCTGGAGACAAGCTGTTCTGCAGGTTGTCCATCAACACACAGCTACTGGCCCGTGTGGACCATCTCATGAAGGTCAGTGCGTAACCTCTGATGTCTAAAAGCAAATTACAGATTTTGTTGATTTGTTAAAAAAGGTTCCCATCATCTTTTGTAATGAGCCTTTAAGGAGTTGTTATCATAATGAATGACCTCATCTCCTTAAGACAATGGATAGGGGATATTTTTGTTAATGTGGTGATATGGTGCTAATCGGCAACAAATCCAAAACTCAGAAACGCTCTGTACTGTCTGGAAATCGTTGGATTACACAAGTCAGAAAAAATCCTACGCATCCAGCCCTCCATCCTATTCTCAAATAGTATAACACTTATCATAGTATCATACCCTCATCTTTATCTGCTACTTTGCTGGAAAAACGGTTTAAACAGAACGAATCCACAAAGAAAGGCTGTGCCGCATTGAATGAGGATTTAAAATGTGAATGTCAGTGTTATGAATGGAAATTCAAAGTATTTGATTCAGTCTTTTGATTAAGTCTTGCTTTCATTCAAGGTTATTCAATTAAACAACTGTATGATGTTTTTCCCTTTATCAGGTAGGGAAGAATAATTTCCGTCCCCCTCCAAAAGTGGAGTCAAGTGTTGTCAGGATAGAACCGAAGAATCCTCCTCCTCCAGTCAACTTCCAGGTGAGGTTTGGCTCTATTAACAATGAATTATGTGATAATGCTGTTTGTTTTAAAAGGAAGTACATTTCTAAATATTTAAAAGTCTGTTTTCTCTTCTTGAATAGGAGTGGGATGGCCTGGTCAGGATTGCCTTTGTGAGGAAGAACAAAACCCTCAATGCAGCTTTTAAGTAAGTACCTGCTTTCTGCACACACTGCCCCGCCGGCCAAATCTATTTTCTGTCAAAAACAACGTGTATAAAAAGAAACGGGTGATCATATTGATTCCTATTTCCAGGTCCAGTGCGGTTGAACAGCTGCTGGAAAAGAACTACAGGATTCACTGCTCTGTAAACAATGTGGTGAGTCATAGTGTCCTTTGTCCCGCATGTTGTACTCTCAAGAGTTTTCAAAATGTCCAAGATCCAGAGATGGGAAGTAGTGGAGTACAAATACTTTGTTACTGTACTTAAGTACATTTTTCTGGTATCAGTGCTTTACTCCACTACTTATTTTTCTGACGACTTTTTACTTTTACATTTTTCACACAAATACCTGTACTTTCTACTTCTCACATTTTCAAAACGGGTTCGTTACTTTAGTTTTAATCTGCGTTTGGTGGCCGAAACATTAATTATCTAACAATGACATTATTGTTCTATTAATATAATTAAACTAAAGGGAGGTCAGTTACTCTAACTAGGTATGGGTACTTTCTACTTAAGTACATTTTAAAGCCCATATTTCTTTACTTTTACTTGAGTAAGTAGTTTAGTCAGTACTTCTACTTTTACCAGAGTATTTTTAAACACGAGTATCTGTACTTCTACTTGAGTAAAGGATGTGTGTACTTTTGCCATCTTTGAATCTAAAGTCCTGTTCTTAATCCTGACAGGAAATCCCAGCTGACTTCAGCATCACCAAGAAGGTTGAGAGTGTTTTACAGGGGGTTGAGTTCAGTGAGAAGAGAGCCCGGACCATGGACATCGATGACTTCATGGTGTAAGTTGAACATCTTATTTATCTAATCTACTGAAATAAATATATGTCTTGACCTGTTTTTAATTATGACTTTCCTTCATCCTCAGGCTGCTTCATGCATTCAACTCAGTAGGGATCCACTTTACTTAAATGGCAGAGGGAACTAGTGCTACGACTCATATGTCCTGCCTTTATAACGAGAGGAGTGGAAAGTGCTTTGCTTGGAGGACCTGAACATCAAGTGCTGAAATAGTTTGAGGAAATGTTCAAAGATTATTGTAGGATACTTTTTAAGAGCTCATATTGAGTGTGTTATTCTGCCTTAATGAGTTGGGCATGTGTTTGTCAGGTGGAAGCTGTTTGAGCCCTCTTGGTTGTACTAGAGCCTGCCAGTGTGTTATTCATTAATCTGTTATTAATACTAATATTCTTAAATCTACATTTGTTTTGAAAATAATTACCTCCTTGTGGAAAAGGTAAATATTTAAGGTTTATGAGTGTCTGCAGTCTATTACAAATAATTTCAGATTGTCCACGTTTCTTTCTGTGTCAATGTTTTCTCACTCACTAAGACTAAATGTAGCTACAGATTGCAACGATTGATCACTTTCTCTTCAATCCGTTTTTTTAATAGGATATAGTTTCGTTTGAAAGTCAAATAATTGAACAAAAAAAATTACAATTTCCCGGAGCCCTATGTGATGTATCAGCGCAAAAAACCAAATAAATTACATTTACAATGAGAAGTAGCACATTTTAGAAACTAGGGCAAATCTTTGGCATGCTTTTTGGTAAAAACGATTTTTCGACCCGTATTAGCGCTTCCGGTGAGACCCTTTCAAAACAAAACTTGCATTTATCAAAAAATAACGCAGAAGGAAAGTTTAATTTGCTCCAAAAAACATCGATATTTTCAAATTTAAATTGCAATAAAGAGGAAAACGGTAGCCATTTATAATCCTGTGTTTCATAAATATAATGGTGACATCTATCGGCCACCCTGGGTATTACAACTTAAACCACTACCCGTTGATCAGATACCATTGTGTGATTTTCAGATAAATAGTTAATTTTAGACCCTTAACCAAACAGTTCACCATCAGCCCGTCTCTTTGAAAGGTGAGCCTCCTTTGTCCCTTTATGTAAAACCGGAAGCAGCTGTCATCTTGGATACAATACACATAGCTTCTCTAGCCGTTGTCACTGTGGTGTTTTATGTAAATGAAAAATCCAACAGTGTGTATAATGCTACAAGATATGTTTAAATATACATTTCTAAATGTAGAGCCCAATATCTGAGGAAATATGTGATGACTTGTGTTTTAGTGACGGGTACATGGGTTTCATAACACACCATTTCTACTCAAAGGTGTTAGAAGATGGCTCTTGCTGGATGGAAGTTATTCATTTCTAATTATCACAAAAGTCCTTTAAATTAAGCACATTCATCTTTATTACTTAGTAAGAGTTTGCAAACTACAGGTAGTCGTGCCGAACATCAAGTGGTTATGCTTCCGAAGGTGCCACTAAAAAAATCTTCAGTCTCTAGAGAGCACGTGGCCTCTTGGGAACGATCTGCTTACTGGCTTGCTCCTCCTCTCGGAGTGTAGAGCGGAATGACTTCACTTTATCTGAGAGGGAAATAAATGAAAAAGTGATTAGTGTTTACTGGAGCAGGGTGTTTAGTCATCATCAGGCCATCGCGTGTTTCTGCCATACCCCGGAGCTCAGTGAGGATTTCTATCTTCTGGTCAAGGATCTGCTCCAGTTGAGTAGCGTATGTTTCCACGTCATAATCCACCTCCTCCGTCATCTCCAGCAGCACCTTCTCATCTTCCAACCAGCGGATAGACTCCTGCTCACAGAGGACACACACATACAGAAAGGCATTTTTAGTTTGACAGCCAGCGATTAACTCAAGAGGTTACCAATGCAAGTTTGACTTTTACCTACAGAAAACTGATTTTATTTATTGTTTAGAACTTGTCAGTGTGAAGCTCACTGTATTTGCATACCGTCAATATGTATCGCATTCAAATGAACCTAAACATGACATATCTCTATATCGACATAAAAATGATGAGCAAGAGTTTTCAAAGAGTCTTGGTTTTTTTTCTTTGATGTTCTGACCTGGAAAACAGCTCGATGGTCCTCCAGGACCTGCTCCTCCATCTCCACTAACTGAGACACCGCCTCGTGGAAGGTAAATAACTGGGGGGACACCTCCTCCTCCTGGGAACATCGTTACAGGGTCAACAAGAGAAAGAAACAGAATATTCACATACACTTCTGAAATAGCTAAAACATAAATCCAATTACCGTCTGGATTATTTAAATGGGCATTTCTCACAAGCAACAAGGTCTATGTAAAGTATACCTTAACTATTAAGCTTCTCAACTATGAATTGTTGGACACAACGTGCCTTAACTTTACAGCCCTTTAATAGCAGGTTTGTAATCCGTTTCCAAAACTATTGGTAACAGGTGTTACATCACAACAGGTTGTATATTGATATGGTAATGAGTTAGAAAGACAACCCTGTTAGCTTACATTCTGCTCACAGAGCAATTTGAGGTCGTCTCTCTGCGGCGAGATACTCAGCCAGTCCCCGTCTAAAAGCTCCAGCTGGTTTACAGCGTGGATGTTGGGTCGGCCCCCGTCCATCATTTGGTTGGGGTCCACTGACAGCTCCTTCACCCTGCAGAGAAAAGGACTTTGAGCCGGGTTGGAGCGTATCTTTCAATCCAGTCTGCGTTATGACAGTAACTTGGGGTTTAAAGGATCACAGAACGCACAGGATGGCAGCAACATGACAGCGGTGACATCATGCATGTAGAAAGATGACTGTAGATGATTTGAAGCCTAATATAATTCATAAAAGTGGTATTCTCATAACAGACAATTAATCAGGACTATTTGATTACCTGCTGAGGGTTTGAACTCATCTTGTGCTTTCACACAGCTATGAACGTTTCAGTGTCCATATGGACAGCAGCTAATACCCTATTGGGTCACGTTTTGTAATGCCATGTATTCTTTGTGAGTCATCGCACACAGCTTACACAGTAACAGTTACACAGAGCAAATAAAAGACACACCCACATGGACAGGCGGACGGATGTATTGTTTCTACAGGATTTAAAAGAAAAAAATATTGACACAGCTTAGACAAAGATAAGAGTGGGAGTCAAAGCAAGGGAGGAGGATGAAAAGGCATGCAGATGAGAAATAGAGACGGACGAGACAGTGAACAGCAGATGAAGAGAATGAAAGCAGCTAAGATGAGCTCATGGATGTACAGAGGGGGATAAATACCTGGAGGGAGCGCATGCATTGTGTTGTGTTGTGTTGTGTGTGTGTGTTTATGTGTGCAGTGCTGTGGGGGGTTCTTGACCTGCTGGGAGAGGTAGCAGCAAAGTCATCGTATTCAAAGGTATTGGTAGGCGAGAGCTCAGAGCGACCGCCCTGAGAGAAGGGGATGTCCGACGGACTAATCCCAAACTCCTTCACTCTACACAGCGGCGATCCGCCACACCAGGGCACAGAGGGAAACAAAGCAGGAAGCAGAGAGGAGAGAGGGGATACAGAGAGTCAGACAGAACTAATAGAGTAGGCAGAGAAATACAAAAAACATTTTACAACTATCTATACAAAAACCTCTGGGAGCCAGAGGCATTCAAAGGAGCTATCATGTCGTAACATTGCATCATTTCTGTTTGTTCCCGTGACAATAAAGCTTTGTGTGAATCACTGGAGTCAGTAAACATATTCCCACCTGTTGGCGTAGCGTAGTGTGTTGAGGGTATTCTCACAGGATGTCATTCCAGGAGAGATTGTTGCAATCTGCGCAGAGAACGTAAACAAATTATTCAAATGAATCCCACCCAGAAGACACACGGACTTTGGATATGAATCAAGGGCAACAAACTGACCATGCATGTGCGTGAGTTCTCCCCGATGAATGAGTCTCTCAGGACCTGGGTGAGCTTACTGGCTCTGAATGGAGTGTGGGGCTTGTTGCGGCCCAGAGCCCTGATACACTCCTGAAGCAAAAGCAGACACACATTGTTTGGTAAAGAAAGTATCACTTTTTTGGAATCAGTGCAATTTTGCAGCAGCCGTCAAACCGACAAACCTTGAGGGCCAGCAGGCTCTTGTTGATCTCCGCCCCCTCCAGACGGGTTTGGCGGTCAGCACTCGATGTGTCGGCCCCCCTCTCGTTACCGGCGAGGTCGATGAGGGAGAACTTGCCGTGCATCTTGCCCTTCCTGCGGAGAATGATCTGGAAAACGGCGTGGCTGCGAGATGAGTGGGCGTTGGCTGATGTCTGCCCTGAGGTTCTGGAAGGGAGAGGAAGGATACAGACATATTAACATGGCACAAGGAAGAGTGAAGGGCGCACACTAAATAATAATTGTAGAGGAGGGAAAATGTGAAAAATGCGCTTGACTTTCTTTTTAGTTATCATGGACTATGATGTCATATTCTATTAAGAAACATCTGCAGCCTAGTGACCACCTCATTTCATGCATTACACCACTAACAACCAGATGGACAGTTCCTGCTGTGGTACCTGCAGCTGTTGCCCACTTCTATGAGTTTCAGGACCTCCTCTGTGCACTTCACATCCTTCTCCTGAAGTCCCACAACCTGCACCTGCTGCTTCCCATCCTCCAACACCCTCAGCTTAGTTTTACGATTCAGCAGGTCAAACACCTAAGAAAACATGTACATCGTCAGAATTGTTTTTATTTTGGGGGTAAAAAACACAAACAAACGATTACTCATCACTTGCCTTTCCGCTGTAGATTTCAAAGAAGGTCGCGTGCACTTGAAGATCTAACTTCTTGTAGTTGGGTTTCTTCAACATGAGAAATACATCCCGAGCTGCATGGAAGAGACAAGAGATCTTACATTTCACCTCAGCAAGCCAAACCCATCATAATAAAAGATATTGTAAATAAAGTATATTTACACTTTTACCAACTAACGGACCACTTTTGGACAAAATGTCCTCTCCATTAAAGGCAGCTCATTGTGGAATAGCCTCCCAACTGAGATACGGGATTGTCTCACTCTCAATAGTTTTAAAGGTCAACTCAAACAATGGTTGAGAAACAAATAGACGTGCGATCACCACTAAATGCACTTTAATACAGGGGTATCTCCTCTTGCACTTTACGTAGCTCTTGTATCTCCTCTTGCACTTTACGTAGCTCTTGTATCTCCTCTTGCACTTTACGTAGCTCTTGTATCTCCTCTTGCACTTTACGTAGCTCTTGTATCTCCTCTTGCACTTTACGTAGCTCTTGTATCTTCTCTTGCACTTTACATGTCGTTGCTGCTATATTGTACTGCCATGTGGTAAATACTCGTGTATGCTGGGGCGGTGGTGGCAAAGTCCATAGGGACTTGGCTTGGCAACTGGAAGGTCACCAGTTCAAGTCCCGGAAAGACCAAGTGCTACCGAGGTGTCCCTGAGCAAGGCACCGTTCCCTACACTGCTCCCCGGCGCCGTACATAATGGCAGCCCACTGCTAGGATGGGTCAATGCAGAGAAACTGTTTTGTTACATGGTACCTGTACTGTGTAATGACAATAAGTTGAATCTATCTATCTATTAGGGTTACCAGAAACTGACCATGATCAAAATCGATTATTCGGCAGCCCTGGCGAATAATAATCGATTATTCGACCGACCCCCTTTCTGGCTTAGTTGAAACTAAGCCAGAAAAAATAAAAAATATATATAAATAAAATCGATTTTTAAAAATAATATTCGATTATGGAGACTGTAACGAATATTCGAATATTCGAATAATCACTGGCATCCCTACTATCTATCTTTTGCACTTTTTGCATATCATGTATTTTGTTTTTGCTATGTTTGTAAAATGTAAACTTCTTAAATGTTTTATGTGAGGGACTGCGGATGGAAATTAGCTCAAAGCTAAATCTGTCACTGTTACGCTTGATACATTTGAATGTTTTAAGTGTTCATCACTGTGCATTGTCCCTGCCTAATAAACGATTAAATGAACTAGAAAACATTCAATCAGCAGGAAACACAACCGCTGACTTACCAGCTAATGCATAAATTCCTTTAGAGCAGTCCTGGTTCTTCCCAGAGAAATCCCCACCCATAGTCTGAAAGACAGAAAACAATATCAGTCAGAAACAGGTTTATTACCAGGTAGGAGGAATTGGACTTGGTGTTGTGGTGCATACATAAAAGTAAAACAACAATTAAAAACACAAGATTGAAAACTATTTTAAGAAAACTATAATAACATTAAAAAATATAGCATTTAGATTGAAATAAAATATCTGCAGCAATAAAAAAACAAGATATTGTGTACATTGATGTAATATTATAATGGTAATATTATAGAGGTCATTTCCAAGGGTACAACTCTTAACAGTAGCTGTCGTGTCTGATCCGTAGTAATCCCTTTATTATCGAAGGGGTCTAGGTGTGTAACTCACGTGTGTTTTTCCACTGCCCGTCTGCCCATAGGCAAAGCATGTGGCCATGCCCCTCTCAAAAATGGTCTCCACTAGCGGTCTGGCTGTGAACCTGCAGGATGAGACCGAACACACATTTATTCACTGATCCAATGCAAGATATTACATAATGCACACAATCTAATAAATAGGTCAGTTCCGCATCATCCATGTTTCAAAGCAAATGAAACAGCTCGGTTCGTTGTTACAAACCTGTAAACCATCTCATTGGTGGTGCTGTCGTCGAAGGCGTAGTCAAAGCGGAAGGTCTGGTTCTCCAGGTAGCGGGTCAGGTCCACTTTCTGTTTGGGTTCGTGAACCATCACCACGTCCTTACTGGGGACGGTGAGCACATCCAAATCCTTCATGGCCAACTCTGGAACAAAGCAGAGGCAAGACGTTTGATATCATTCAGACCTTAACAATAAACAAAACATGTGGTTTCCGAATCAAGAGCTGACCTTTCTTGTTGAGTGGACGTTTCCTCACACAAACGCATATTCTGTGCTCTTCAATCTGGACGGTGCAACAAAGACGGACATTTTATTAAATTGTTTCTGAGGGGAGATGTCTACAAATCCAGAGAGAATGAGAAGCTTCATCTACTCACCAGATCTGCCGTGGTCAGGGGCCGGTAGTCCAGGCTGGCTCGGAAATCTCTGATCATGTACATGATCTCGTAGTTAGGGATGGTGGTATCCACCTCCTGAAGGAAGTTAAACAGTGAGGTACCAGCTTAATAACCATAGCTAAGTCATTCCTAGATGTCCACTACATTAAGAGGTCATCAAAATGAAGGTAGATGTACCTGAGCTCTCTTCTCTCGTAGCTCTTGCTGCTGAATCCGGCGTCTCTCTCTCTTCTCCTGCAGCTTCTCCACCTCCTTCACGCAGTTTGACTTCCTCCTCGCTGCCATAAAGACAAGACAACGGAAGGAACAGTCACTCTACTGCCTTTCAAAGGGTGAGCCTTTCTCAGCAAAAGGGTCTCTTCCTCTTTCTTTCTTCTACTTCCTCAGTCCTTTTCCTCGGCTTAAGCTGTATCTCTCTGAGTCTTTCCTGTCTCATGGTAACCCTTCAAACTAAAAGGGAGACTTCAGGCTATTTCCTACAAAGCAGAATACAGAAGTGCTGAGGCACGGAGCAGGATGCAGCGGCTGGCACACAGTCCCTCCACTACAACACTAGCTTCCTTCTCTGGATATAAACAAAAGGCCTCCACAGTATGTTTACAAATATTCATATATGCCTTCAATCTGCATCTCAACACAACTGGACCAAGAAACTGATATGCACATCACTCACAATCTGAGATATGATCTTTATTGCAATTACGCCAATTACAATTAGAGGTGGTTTCAAATCAGGTGTGATTAACCAATAATCAACCAGAAGCTTATTCCGAATCTCCCAGGAAAGCACACCCACACATTAGTTTTGTTCCAGGTCAATCACAAAGGCTTAGTTACAATATTAAGAAGAACAGAAATCAGCAAACGTCTGTGTAAAAGTTCTGATTGCTTGCAGAGATGATCAGAAACAGAGCCATCTGATTGGCCCTGGCACGGTGCACAGCTAAGCCAAAGCTCTCTAAAACAGTCCTGTTGGCTGCATTCCCCGAGAACCCAGAATATCAGAGCAAAGGGATTAATAATCTGCTCTAATCTGGGAGGAGAAGAGGAGCTGGGTCGGCACCGGGACAGGGCGAGATAAGAGGGATTCAGTTCCATCGCTGTGTCTGGGTTACCCTCTCTAACACGAGGGGAACAAGGACCTTCCCCTCCTGAGTTCATCAAATGACAGTTGGAGGGAATAGAGGATGAATAAAAGGGTTATTGTTGCTGTCTGAGCCTTGAGGAGTATCGCACAGAGGAACAGGCTAATCCATGTGTGTGCCTGTGTGTGACTCAGCAGAAATCAGACAGGAAAGAAGACAGCGCAGACGACCAGCAGCCCAACAATATTTGTTTCTCCCTGTCTAATACCCAGAAAAGCCTGTCTGCTGGATGGATTGTGTTTGTGCTACTTTACCACCACACCACAGCTTCAAATTGTATTGGACACACAATTTGACTAGAGGACTCTCAGTTTCTATTGGGGGACTGCTATTAGAATCACCATTAGACATTGAGGGCAGGGTAACATGCAGGTGATACATACAAAGCTGTCCAAGATCCTTTCTGGATATCGGCTGATGAGAGGATTCTGTGATAAACACGTGGTCAACAGAAACATGAGACATTACAATTTAACAGATGCTAAACTCCTAGAGAATAGAGTGGTGCAGGAACGAGTCCTACAACCTGGAAGTGAGTTAGCATTTTACCACTTCCGGTTCCCTCGTCTCAGAGTCGACGGGTTTTTTGAACTAGTTTTTGGAAAATAGCTTGAAATAAGGTCTGTGGTTGACACAAAGGTAAGACACGGATCACGTTTTGTTCTACGACATTATTCATCAGCAGTGACCCCATTGGTGACTTTTGAAGAGTTGACGTGTCTGAAAAACGATGGTTGTTAACAAGTGGCTGAATAGGACTACAGAAGTTGTTGAGGACGTCGTACGTCATTACGCCGAACACGTAAACACTCCCGCTAAGTTTGTTTGCCCCTGCGCTCTAGCAAACTGTTCAAACAAACGCTTCAACTTGTACAATTTAGAATCTGTATTTTTAAATATAGATCTTAAGATGGCGTGAAGTTGAAGTCGAGCGACCCTGCTGTAGTTCGTTTATAGCATAACGTTAGCATTTTGCTTCTGGCGATTAGATTTATGATTCGGAAATTATAAAAGTAGGATAGACGTGGAGATTATCCGGCTGAACAAAACGTGCATTTATCAAACAGGTTCGTTTTCCACAGATCTTATTTTTTACAATATTCCAAAATCCTATTGAGAAATCCCATTGCTTTTTGTCGAGGGAACCCTTACTTCCGGGTCGGCCTACAAAAAAATCGTCCCTGCATCACTCTATAAGTTAACTCAAGGCCAATTGCTTAAAACTGGTTCCCTAAAATAACTATTTTCTGAAGAAAGGTCGCAGGTGAGATCACAGTCGAGGTTAATTAAAAAACAGTTTGGATCATGTTACCGTTCTGCAGTTGCTGTGCAGTCTGAGCCTGAGTGAGCTGAGCGGGCTGCAGAGAGGGGGGGGGGAGGGGGGGCCGGCTCTGGTTGTGGAGGCGGGGGTTGTCTGGCCCGCGTCGGAATCACTGAAAATACAAAACCACAATGTTTTAGAAAAAACGATTGAGTCGCGTGCTGCTCACATAACGGGTTTGGACTTGCTATTAAAGCTGAACCCACTGTTTTAAACTTAAAATGACTTAATTGAAATCTGTTTCATGTTTTCACCCCAGAAAGCATTTATCTAGGTATTCTAAGTAATGTGATAATACTGGACACCTGTACATATTAAACAGTGCTTTTTCTAAGATTCCCTCGGTTCATATTCAAGATTTAAGAGCAAGCCATGAGAAGATAATGCATCTATTCCCAGGGAAATGCATGAAACCAACCTCGATTATCCCGGGACGGAGTGTCATTCTTTATGGGCGCTATCGTCCGACGGTTCTGCAAGAAAAATCAAAAGAGAATTGGGTTCAAAGATTCCTAATTTCACTTTTACATATGTAATAGCCGCTCTGAGACTTGAGAAAGGGAACATCCTTTTTTTTTGTATTTAGCTTTCAACCTCCTCTGCCTGCCTCAATGTAGAGATACAGAAATAGACAAAGCCTGAGAGTCAGATTAGTACAGAGGCCTCATTTATCAACACTAATCTCCCAGATGACATGACACTGCCAAAGCACTCATGTCAAAGTATCTTAAAAAAAGGAATAAAGTAGACCCTGTCCAAATCACAAAAGGCTGTAACTCTACATTTTTGTGAGGATAATTCCTGTACAGGGGGATCTAGTTTACCCCTGGATGTACTTTACAGACGATAGAGGTACACAACCAAAAATAACTTAAATAGTTAAAATAGTTAAAAGCCAAAATGACACCATCCTAGCCCAAATTTGAACAATTAAACTGCACTATTTTTTATCCAAGAAACATCTCGTTTTACATTGCCTGACATTTGTTTTCACGTTAAATGTTTTATATGTTTTACTGTAAGTCAGATGTATTCAAACCTGGAATATTTACCAAAAAGAATACTAGTGTTAACCTGCTAATCCACTTGTCTTATATACTGTGTACTTAACAGGACCAATTAGATGGTTCCCGAGGAGGATCCCTGTTCTATATTAAGGTCCAGCAAACTGCAGCATCATAAAAACCTGAACCAGTCTGAGCACTGTACAGACTTTCCCTCCCCCCCGGATAGAAACCAATCAAAATCAATTAAATTACTATTTTGTTCAAACTGTTTAAATGATATAACAAACATTTGTTACAGTAGTTGGCAGACAGGCTGGCATTCAGGTTCTTACCTTTGCGATTTTATTGACCTTCACACATGTGGGTGTAGGGGGGGGTGGAGTCTCTGGACTTTGGGCAATTTCCTCATCTGGAGCCACATCTGGGTTAAGTGCAAATACACTCTCCAAGTCGATCTGTCCAGAAACAGAAGAGTATTAATACCAACACATTACATGAATACCAATTAACTAACAAATAAGTAAGATGGATGGATATATTGATCGCTGAAGAGTCAAAGAAGCTGAATAAAATCCACCTTTCAATGTTGTAAAACATGGGAGAGTACTACTTTGACATAGTAAAAGGTTTGCATATTTTTTCAAAACTCTAATTTAACTTATTTTCAGAATGTAAATGACATCCGAGTTCAAAAAGATATATATATTAACCATAAACTTTTCATTATACTTATCCAGACGTGGAAATTACATGAATCAAGTGACATACTTTCCATACTGCATATGAACCCTTAAAGTACAGCTCAGTTCTAAGTGTTATTTTAAGTGTGAATCTGAAGTATTGAGTCATTTAGACACAAATCAGACTTGAATCATAATCTAATGACTTTAATGTTGACTTGATTAAATAAAATATAACAGACTTCAGTGTTTCCCCTAGGTTTACCGCCTAGGGGGGGGGGGCGGGGGCATTGGGATATGTCTTTTTTAAATCCTCTGGAGCAGAGAGAGGAGCTGTGGATTATTGTTATCAGTGTTTCTTAGGGTCAAAAACACTAAACTCACAAATTAAAATGAAAGCGTTTAGTTTATTTAATAAAAGAGCACATGTTCAATGTGAAAAGTGACAGTAGTTATAGTTTAGTTGCAATTTGGTGCTTTATATACATATAAAAAAAATAAAAGAATTTTTTTTTTTTTTTTTTTAAACAAACACCTTGAATTTCAGGGGGGGCGCGGGGCTCAGTGCCCCTCCAAGACAATGGTAGGGGAAACACTGGACTGGCATCTTTGTTTGTCTGCACCAATGACTGTTGTCTGTGAGCATTGTGCATCAAACTAAGTGTCATTTATCCATCCAGGATCTAAAGCATCGATTCTCAACGACCACACAAGAGATCCTAGTCCTGAGTGAATTTACTGTCAACACTACAATGGTTTTTAGATACCAAAACAGCGTAATGGGATTATTTTGGTGTTATAACTGTACGTTAGCATTATCCAACCCCATTCGTCTTTTGAACCGAAAACACAGGATGAAAGTGAAAACAGAGACAGATTGAGATGATGGAAAATAGTACTGATTTACAAATAAATCCAAATGACTGCAATATCAGAATGTAAATACAATTGTACAGCACTTATTTTACAACTCCATATAATAAGAGAATATATAAGAGGGATGTATAGCAAATATAAAAAAGCAACAAGAGAAGTCTGCTGTGTTGTTGTACACTGTGTTGCAGGCTGTGTGAGGTCACCAGTGTACAGAGGGTGATGTCTGCTGCGACTGTATTTCATGCAGGAAGGTTATGTAATCACCACAGTGCCTGAATGTCTTTTTGAATGCATTATTTATTGAGGTGGGGAAGGAAAGAATACTCAGGCTGGTGCTTGTGCTACGAGTGGTAATAAAACGTAATTTACCTCTTTCCCTTTAGTGTCTCCATTTTCTATCCACTCCACTGTGACGCTCTCATTGTCCTCATTCAGTGAGGTCACCATCGACTGGTGTATACGTCCTGAGGAAGTAGCAAAGACAGGGAAGCATAAGATAGGCAGACAAACACTGAGAGGTGAAGGCAGTGTTTACAAAGGCCCAGCAAATCACCTGGCACTAAACCAGGGTATCTGCACATTTTTTAAGTACAAATGTAATGACTTTTAAGACCTTTTTAAGACCTCTAAAAGGAAAAAATAATACCAATACAAAAACAATCGATGAACTAGACAACAGTATAAACCGTTACTGAGTTTAATTGCATTTGAATAACGGGAAATATTCAGTGCCCATTACCCAACATGGTTGCCTTCGCATTAACAACAACATAATTGTATGGAAGTAGACCAATGAAAACCAATATCCCCCCTGCACACTCATTCTGCCCCAGATACAATTTAATACCTCCCCTCCTAAAAGTCCAGACCTTTTTAGACATTTTAAGAACTTGAATATCAAAAAATAAGTGTATGACTTTTAAGACTTTTTAAGGATCCGCGGGGACCCTGGTTTTAAACACTTCAATGATGACAACATTTAAATCATGTCTTTTCACAGATTCACCAACTAATAGCACATTTTATTTTCACATTAACAAATAAACAAAATCAGACGGCAGCAAATAGGTCAGGCTAATCTTCCGATCTGTCCACGAGGTTTAATTATGACCTGTTGGGGAGAATCACTGGTGAAGGAGACAAGCACTGCTGCTGCAGCGAGCGTCTGTGTTCCTCTCCGCCTCTCTGTCTGCAGTGTCATAAACACAGCTGTAAAGAGACGCCTCAGACCCCCATCTTTGTCTATGTGGATCCGACTGTAGGCTGTAAATTCCCAATACAATGTTCCTGTATCCATTATTCAGACAACCGGCAGCTTGCGAGCAAGGATGCTTTTAGCGTTCTCAGCTGCTGAACATTTCACGGTTTTACCTTATAATGTTTTCATTTGGCAAAAAGCAAATGTAGATTGCTTAAAACAGAGTTCACGGGAAATGTTGGCTACTCAGAAGATCAGAACCTCTCTGGATGCACAAAGGTCGACATATCCCATATATTATGATATGCATTTAATTTAAATCGATGAAAATGGATTCATTATGACAATACTGTACATTTGACTGAAACATGACATGTGACTATTGGGACTTAACATAGTCACAAATTCCAAAAGCAACAATAATTTAGATTGTACATACATAAACAATTATGTAATAAATAACACTACCATAAAAAAAGTAATGAACAATTAAGACATCAATCTTCTATCTCGCTCTACCCTCCATCAGAAATGGCCCCCATACATTTCTGTCATTGTTATAGAGCTCATGTTACAGAGACAAGCGTTTGAAAAATAGGCTTCTTGTTAATAAAACACTGAGGAGCTCATGCAGCCTTTCAAACCCATTGACTTGAACTGGCTAAAGTTAAAAGATGAAAACAGTTCATTTCAACAAACTACAAAAGGATTGGTTTCCTTTCAAAACAGCTTCAATTAGCTTGGCATTAATTCTCTGCAACCAGTCCAACGTCTCCTATCAGATGCAGATCTGGTGACCCAGACTCCATGATCATATGATTCCCTTCACTATACATCTCATTCAGTCAGGGGACATCTGCAATAGCTGTGTTTATTCAGTTTCTTCTGACTGTACATTAAAGTCGGACCTTTTGTATTACTTCTGTATACTTCAATTTTGCGAATATGTCTGATCTGTTCAACTGTGACATGGTAGGGAACCAAACCGGGCCCGTGGCAGTGTTTGGGGTTACACCTCGACTGAAGGACAGTGTTGAGAGCATACCATGCTGCAATAGTAAGTGCAGAGGATTTACAGCCAAACAGAGAGACAGGCAAGTCCCTCCAAATCACTGCTGTTTCTTTTGGCTACAGGAAGCCACATGACTCCAATGATGTGGAGAATGTGAATGCCAGGACAGGTTGACATGCTGAGACACACTAACTAATACTGACTGGGGTTGAAGATACATGTATAATGTGAAAGTAACAGCAATTCTCAATTTCCAAATGGAAAGGCATTCTGAGCTAGGTTGCTGCTTGTATGTAATGTTTAGTTATCGGTGGCACAGAGACGATATACCCTGAAGAGAGGCAACAGTAACATCCTACACCACAATGCTAATGTGTAGCGTGTTTCAGCCAGGGATGGAGCTCCACACCATCACAGCATTTTTTAACAATAAAAAATAACGTTCTCCCTCCAAACCCAGAGAAGGCAGGGTGTCATAATGTGACGGGAGGAAACTGAAAATGATGTTGTATTATAAATGAAACTTCTTAAAAAAGGTCTCAAATATATTAGCCTGATGACAGTTACCAAGTCCACGCTCAAATAAGTAAGTAAATATTTGGTGTCAGTAATTGGTTAGTCACTTATATTATTAAAAAGTGATCACTTTAGATTATGATTTATATTAGTTTAAAAAGGGAAGATCGTTTGTCTTGTGGCAGACACTTTATCAACAACAACAACACACAATGGTGTGAAGCTGTACACTTTGCTGATGATAAAAACCTTTCATTTCACTATCCAAAGGAGTAGTGGCCTCCGCCTCTTCCTCACTTTCACACACACATTCGGTAACTGAATGAATTGTCCCACTTTAATACAAAAGACCTGGCTGACTCTGGCTGACATCACTAGTAGTTGAGGGGCTTAAGAGGGGGTGCTCGAAGTCCAAGAAAAAAAAAAAAACTTGTTTCACTACAAAACTAAAGAAACTGTGTTGACATGTCACAGACTGAGAAATATGACAGTCCATAATCGCTAAGCATGTAGGTGACGTCTCTCTTGCACACTGCCATGTTTCACTAAGAATTCATGCCAGATAATAACAGATAATCTAAGTCCAATACGAAACATTGAATGAATGATGGCATTCAATTGCATACAAAACAAATGTATTTCACCTACAGAATAGTACAACATAATTCTCTATGAGATTTGGCTCCCATCAGGACTGACTGTGGAAAGGATCAACGCAGGGACAGCCTCCTGGCAGCATCTAGGGAGCTGCAACAGATGGGGTGGTGGCCTCAATCTGGGTCGAGTCTGAACCAGCCCAGGCACCAACCCCCAAGAGAGAGGGCAATCCCTGCTCTGGATGCTACACCAACCAGCAGGGAAATGGATCGACTGAACAGCTTCTCTCCCTCTCTCTCTAGGCCTCCCAAGCGGGTTTTTCACATCTCACCCCTGACTTGAGAGTACTGAGGAGGACTGTGTAATCGAATGCCTCGGGATGAGAACGTTGAGGATATCATCATCAACAACAACCAATTCAACAGTTAAAAACACACCCTTGCCACTAGCTTGGAACCATTTTTTTTTTTTCAATCAAGTACTTTGTTCAAAGTATTTATTTTTCAAGTTGTGAGAAACTGGGTGTAGCTCAACTCTGTAAAGGGCCAGAAGGAGTGGCTCAAACTGTTGTTGTCATCTGCATGGCCCTGACGAAATGCTGTGTAGCTACATAGAGCAGGCATAATAAAGCTGACATTCACATAGAAAGAGTCACAACAAGCCTCCTCTCCCTTCCCCTGGCTACTTCTCTGTTAACCCTTGGAATAGATTAAGTGAGTGTATTGTAATCACAGCCTCTTCCCTGATGACAGTGTGCACAATGCATGTATGTATGCATGTGTAAGGAAGTAGGCACAGAGCTGTTCCATTAACTAATAATGGTTTGACTTTATTACATAATTAACAATATTTTGGCATGATTTACATCCTCTAATTTATTTGTTATAAGATGTTATATAAGGTGATCCAAAGTGTCAAAAACGACCATTCTCTACAAATAACCAATGTAATGAATAAGATACTGGGACAGTCAGTCTATGGTGTTATTATTTATATATAACATGTCACATGCTGAATAACTATCGATTCTTGATTTTGAACAATTATAGGCAGAAGAGTACTATTAGTAAAAAGCTGCAATACTGCAAATGTCTGTCAATGTATACTTTGTATTAACACATGAAGTATGCTAAGTAACTAGTAATTAAATATGTAAAATACATGTAGTGGAATTAAAAGTACAACATTACCCTACAAAATGTAGTGAAGTAAAAAAGTAACATAATGTAAAAATATTCCTCAATCATTACAGGGTTTACATCACAACTGGCGTAAGTTCAGTAAACATTTAAAAACCTCAGTAAATCCAATACATTGGCCATTAACACCAGGCAAACGGGGAAGCTGTTTGTCAACTAAATGAGAAGTATTTGGTTTTATATACAATATATGGTTTCACTACCACTGTTGCAATAAAGCCGGTAACGCTACTGTTAGCCGTTTAGCTAGCCGCAAGCTAATGTTGTTGTCTATCGAACTAACGATAGCTTGGTTAGCTATTTAGCTTAGCTTAGTTACATTTCAAATCCATGATGGAGAAAACCATAACGTTAGTGTTTGAGATTCTTTAATTTCAAATTGGAAGCACTTGGTTTTATATAAACATTTGAAGTGGAAACAAACGGCGAGAGAAGCTAGCTAACAAAGGTATGAGCTCATTCAAAGGCTTTGGCCATGTTGAAGCCCTCCGCCCTGACAGCTCATATTCATGTTTTCGTGCAGCTAACGTTACGCTCCACAGGAACAACGGTTGCTGCATTCAACACAGCAACAAAGATCCCAACAACTTGTGCGACCAGGAGAAAAGGAACTTACCATCACTGCGCTTTATCTCCACATAAGTACCAACGACGATCTTCCCAAAACACGACGCCATTCTACATTACTTTAAATTATCAGAAACAGGACTAAATACTTATTATGAACCGGGTAAATGCAGCTACTTCTTGTGTTTGGCCGTCTTTGGTCCGGCAGGAAGATGCAGGAGAGGCAACAGAATGAGCTAGCGTTGAGTAGCTACCAAGACTAGCAAAGCATTTCCGGTCTGGTATTTTTCAAAATAAAACCAGGTGACATGTGAAATCTTGAATTACATTGCATGAAGAAGAAGAACCAAAGAAAGGGAACAGTCTAAACAATAGGGATTGTAAAGCAGGTATAAGCATACTTGCCAACCTTGTTAGTGGATCGCCGGAGCTGTATTAGATTAACATTAACATGCTTATTGTAGTTGTAAGTGCACTGTCTTGCATCCTTGATGGAGCATATGTGTGGGCTGGACCTGTATTTTACAGGAGAGGAGTGAGCAGAGGGTCGAGTTGTCGATTCTTGTTCAGTTTTCTGTGACTATCTTCCTCACCCTCTCAGACTTTCAGTTGCGCACGCTACTAAAGAGACGCGCTACCATGGAAACCAAACAATGGTGTAGCTGTATTCAAGTCCGAGTGGAAACAGTCCTGAATAAATCTGATGTTGTCAGAAATCGGGAGAAATGCGGGAGAAATATGACCCCGGGAGGAAACCGGGAGAGGGCAATAAAATCGGGAGTCTCCCGCGAAAATCGGGAGGATTGGCAAGTATGGGTATAAGTTATGAGGAATATTGCTTGTGTAAGGACACATAATTCATACATTGCTGATAATACTTCCCCATAAGTAAATAATCTGAACAGTTCTTTCAGCACTTTGATTCATTAAACAGACTTTGGTAGTAGGCTAAGTGTTGCTCTTATTGTAGTGGATGGCTTATGCCACCTGGTGGCACCAGGGTCAATGCTCTCTTTATTTTGTGTGTTACTTTATCATAACCGTACCAGAAATAGGACGAAATTAACAAAACTGTATGGTTTGCAACCTTACCCTGCTTGTCTGGTAGAAGATCTGGTAGGGTCAACGTGTTTCCACAGTATAAGGTTGATTTCCTGTGTTATACTACAGACACACACACACACATACACACACACACACACACACACACACACACACACACACACACACACACACACACACACACACACACACTACTGACCCCAAATTATTGGGCTCGAGATCATTCTCTTTCTAGAAGCTACCAGGTTCTTCTGTGGTCCTGCAGCTGTCAGCCCCCCCACCTAACTATCTCCATACACACACCTCCTTTAAACCCCCTCCTGCCACTTTGGCAACAGGCATTTGCTGGTGACTTCTCAGCTGTCTGTGCCCTAAATAGACCTTATCAGGAGCAGACCACCTTTGAGGGGGGTCCCTCTCACAGATTTTATTGAATGGAAAATATTTGTTATTCATAGAGCCTCGGATATTTAAAAAACACCAATAATTTCTTTGCAAACCAAGTCATCATGGTTTATAATGACTTTTGAATCAAAGTTGTTCTTTGAGGTATTAGAGTGCAAGCAGTCAACCCCTATGTGTGATGGATGGTCCACCTTGGTTCTGTCCCACCTCATTGAGATTCAAATATAAATGTAGTGTTAGTGGGGGGAAGTTTCATGAGACAAAAAAGTTTGTCACAAAAATTACAGACTAGAGATTCATATCATCTAAGCAGAACAAGAGACACAGCACACAATCCTAAAGGTACTGTACAGCTTGTTTGTTTTTTATTATCTATTTGATTTTGGTATGCAGACAGTACTTGGTATAGGTAGGCAGGAAGATTGTGCCTACATGATTGGAGATAGTGTCTGTCCATTGGGAAAGTGGCATGTTCGAAGGCTCCAACTGGGGTACGAGACTGTGCCCAAATAAGGCTTGAGGGGAAGCCATTTAAAGTTAGAGATAACATGTGCATGGCCATTTGCTACGAAAGACCCAGGTCAGCAGGACATTCATTACTAACAATGGTAAGAACAAAAACATTTGTAATGCTACAGCAGTTTCAATAACATTAGTATGCTGACAGACTATTGTCATCTGTGGGATTGATTGTGAAATATGGGGCTGTTTTTTTTGTTGTTTTTTTGCTCTTTACTTTTTGAAATGTGTAAAACTGCTTATTTGTTGAATTTGTTGCTTATTTGAAATGTTAGTGTTTGCATCAATTATACCTATTTATAATGATTAGGTAAGCTACCCTTAATTGGGGAATTGTTTATATGATTCAAATGTGTTCTCTTGGTATGAATCTTACTATAGTTACAATACCGCATGTACATGTGATTGAGTGGTTTCCTCTGAAATTGTTGTGTTGAAGCATTGACTGTCAGGTTTGATTTACAAAGTTATGTGATCCATAGAATCTATGTCATAACTGATAACCCCTGATTTTACCAGATGGGAGACCCAATCCAGTTAAAAGATGAGGGAAACAAACACTTCCAGGCAGGAGAAATCGAAAATGCCATTGAGTGCTACACCAAAGCCATTAAGGGATGCAAGGACAAAAAAGTGCTTGCTGTCATCTACAGGAACAGATCTGCATGCTACCTAAAGAAGGTAAGCAGTTTGGCTAAGCAGCATAAAACATAAACACATACCAAATAGATTTCTTTAAAAATCATTGGGGAAATTCACACTTTTATTTTGATGTTTCTGTTTTTCTAAAAGGAAAACTATGCTAACGCAGCGTCCGATGCATCTAAAGGTAGAGTAATACGCGGACCAAACAACAGCAAAACGAAACCAATAAACATGAACTTAAACTAAAGGTCACAATCTAATCCGTTCTTCTTCCTATACAGCCATTGATGTGGACGCAGCAGATATTAAAGCCTTGTACCGGCGTTGCCAAGCTCTGGAGAAATTAGGAAAGCTTGACATGGCTTTCAAAGATGTGCAGAGATGTGCCACCATCGAACCAAAGAACCAGACATTCCTGGAGACTCTCCGCAGGCTGGGAGCAGAAATCCAGGCCAAGGTCGGCATTATCAAGTTAATGTAGAATGCAACACACAATACTTTGCATAAATGAATTCAGCACTGCTACATGTATTCAACAATAATTGCTTGGTTATCAAAATCAGCATATAGCTTTGGTTGTGCCATTAGAAATACATGTTTTATGATAGTTTGGGAATCTTTAATTTGGACATGTCAGCATTGGCAAAGGTTGAACGCTTCATTTTGACATTTTTCCACAGCTCAAGACAACATTCTCCACAGATTCAAGAGTGCAGAACATGTTTGATATTCTCCTTGATGAGGAAATGGAAAAGGACAAAAGGGAAAAGGTAGGCATCCTCCCTGTGAAAAAATACTTTTATGTAGATGCACATACTGTAGTTGTGGTTTCACTTTTGCTACTTCTTCTTTTATGTATAGGCTGCCAACAATCTGATTGTGCTGTCAAGAGAGGACGCCGGAGCAGAGAGAATCTTCCAGAATAATGGAGTGCCTCTGCTGCTCACCATGATAGAGACGGGCAAACAAGAGATGGTCCTGGCTGCTGTTCGTACTTTGTCAGGAATGTGCACAGGACACAAAGCTCGGGTAAGCTTACTCTAAAAATGATTCAAGACAAAAGCATATTCAAAGTGAACTATGTAGCCTTCAAACTTCAAAAGTACATCTTCAACATACTGTATCTTTTGCCATTTGAAATAAGAATAATTTGATTTGCTATCCAATTTCTTTAACAAAGTGTATTGTGTATGTCTTACCACTATACAGGCCATGGCCATAATTCAGATGGTTGGCGTCGATAAGATGTGCAGCATTATGGCTGTCGACAATGAGGAGATTGTGCTTGCAACCTGCAACCTCTTCCAGTGCATCAACGACTCCCTCACTGGTGAAGATAAAAAGGATTATGGCAAAGAAGAGGCCTTAGTTCTAGGTGAGACAGAATCAAATCATCCTTATCTGTAACAAAAAGTAGATTTTATTATAAAGATATCCTCAAAGCTTGATTAAAAAAGCAATGGTAGAATGTAAAAAAACAAAATGGCTGGGTCTATGCTGCTGCTGTTAGTATTCTCTTAGCAATTCTGACTGAGACTTTCTTTTATATCTGCAGATGCGTCCAAAGACCTGAAAACCATTCTCCTCGCTCTGGTGGAGATGGTTGGTAGTAAGAAGGTTTCTGGCCATGGCAGAGACCAGGCACTGAATCTCCTGAGCAAGAATGTACCTCGCACTGTAAAGAAATCCAAAGACAACTCCAAGGCCCTCTTCACTATTGATCACGGTGAGCCACACAGCTACATCAGTCACTACATAGTTTGAGCTAAAATCTTTTGCTGCATCCCAGACTCCTGGATAAAGTGTATTCAACATATGATATGTCTATATCATATATATATATATGGGGTTGTTCTCCAGGTCTGAAGAAGATCCTCAAGGTGTGTGGTCAGGTTTCTGAACTGCCCGACCAGCTGCCCATGACGGAGAACACACAGCTGATCGCCAGCGTGCTCCTCACCAGGCTCTACGACGAGCTCTCATGTGACCCTGAGAGAGACAACTTCAGGGAGATTTGCAATGAATATATCAAGTACGACCATAGCATAGAGAGTAACCAGTGTTGTAGCCAATCATTTGTAAATGGAAACCAAGCCAACATAACTCACACCATCTCTGCGTCTGTCTTCCTTTTTCCCAGTTCCAAAATTGATCCCAACGACATGGACAGGACAATCCATGCTATCAACGTCATCTCAGGCCTGCTTCAGGGTCCCTTTGATGTCGGTAACGCCCTTGTTGGACGACAAGGTATAATGGAGATGATGGTGGCACTGTGTGCCTCTGAACGTGAGGTGGACCAGATGGTTGCTGTGGAGGCGCTGATCCACTCCGCCTCCAAGATGAGCCGTGCTTCCTTCATCATCACCAACGGCGTGTCCCTTCTCAAGGACCTCTACAAGAAGACCAAGAATGAGAAGATTAAAATCCGTTCTCTGGTGGTGAGTGTGCCCTGGGATAGAGATAAAAACATTATTTG